GGTGCGGGTCGTAAGGATCAGTATTAGGAGACATTGTAACGATAGATACAGACAAATCGTACAGCTACTCAGCTCAAAGGTGGGAGTTGCGCCAAGAAGAGTTATGCCGAAGCGCCGAGATTAGCGTGGGACAAAACTTTTGTGAGGCACCTCCGTATGTTGTCAGACTTTAGATCTTAGACTAGCACCTCTGACAGATCTTACGCTTGGCCCCAAGATCAATATACGAGGTTGCATTATTTTATGACTCTGATTACATTGTACTTTGTGCACCGTATACGAACTTTACTGTCTCTGGGGTAGGTAATGTCAAAAGTGGTCCATGTAAGCCAGCTTTGCGATGCGATGGGTTGCGAGCCATAGATCGATCGATTGATAAATCGTACGAGCTTATGTAAGGATCAATCAAGACAATCTGTGTCTTTGGTTGTCCTATGCACTGCCTTTATAGTACTTGTATGACGGCGTATCTAGTCGTACGCTCGGCTCGGCTCGACCGCTCATTACGCATCCCTAGCCTACTCAACTTTGTCGATGTATTAGTAGAAGTGATACCCCAATCCGATTCGCACAAAAACAGAAAATCACTACGTATCCCTAACTGCATACTCCTCTATCCACACCCATTCTTCATCATGAAATCGCCATTTTTTTGGACAGTAAAAGCAGGATTTGATTATATCTTCCCTATTTTCTAGGGCTCTCTTACTAGCGCTTGTAACAAGACTTACGCCGAGAAAGTGCACTGATGCCAAGGAGCTGTACTGACGCAAGTGCCTTGCAATTCTAGCTCCATACATTGAGCTTGTATAAGGGAATTAGCCTAAATATTTTGAGGGTTTATCTAAGAATATACCTCATTATATAAAGGATAGAAAGTAGCATCCCGTTGTGTATTGTTCATCCAACCATTTTACCATTACTAGCTTCACAACGCTCTCGAGCCGAAGATGAAGTTTACCACTTTAGCTAGTGGGCTCTTGTTCGCTGGCATAGCCTATGTAAGTTTCAGTTGTTATAATCTGTTATGGTCTTCTACCTACAGAGCGTGGTATAAAGATGGTCATCTGACAACATGCTTCTAGGCAGATTTCGGCTGCTATTGCGTAGGCCGAGAGGGCGGAAACAGCCGCAGTATAACATCAGAATGCTGCAAGGCCAGATGGAACGCAACTCCTAAAATGGGACAGTACTACTGTATCTATCCTAACGGCCCTCCATGGCCAGATCTCCAGAGTGTCTATTACGACTGCTGCAGGACTGCCGATGGAGGAGGTGGTGCCTGCTTTGTGGATGCCTGAGGAAACGAATGAATACAGGCGGGGACGATGGTTGAAATAGCACATAATTCTATGACTATGTATATGCCTGGAGCATGAAAGTGCAATCATTAGCCCTTGGAATAGATACAACGGGTTTGAGGGAGGCTTTGAAGAACTTTCAAAATGGTCACAGAGACGGAACAATGGTTGTAGTGTACCTAGATCATGCTACAATATACTTGGACTTGCAATTTCAAACATCTAAGTCGTCTTACTTAGATTCCAATTTGTATTACAAAGTGATTGGCTACAATGTTGTACTGTTTTAGCATTGTCTGGCGTTTTTAGTCCACTAAGAGGTAGGCGGGCGGGCGGCGACGCCACTGCATGAGCGGCACAGCGGGGTGTTTGGACCACGTGCGCACCGCCTTTTGCCCTTGGGACTTGACAAGCGCCGGCGTAATCAACGGACTTTGGAGCATATTGGAGATGTTGGGACGTAGCGGCGTACTTTTTTTGCATTCAAGCGTTGGCATCTTTCACCGCTCGCCGGCCTTCTATCCCAACAAGTGTCCTGTAGGAGCAATGGAGTGATGAAGAAAATTTGACATAGCACTGAAAAAGCATCTTTTGGAAAAGAAAGTGAAGATGCTTTGCGTAAGTACGCGGAGCACGTCGCGAATTTCTGGCTCGACCTCGGACTTGTGCGCAGCGGATAGATGAAGCCTCGACGCTCTTTTCCATGTAAGCGGGCGCTTGCAGCGGGACAAGCTATATACATACCATCCCTACTGTACCTCGCGGACTTGTACCAACCCTGCGAATCACGTACTAAGTAGAAGCCAAGACAACGTGCCATCAAACTCCGCTGAAGCCCTCACATGAAGCCAAGGAGACGGTGCTGTCATAACTAGAGTGTTGTGCGTACGATGCCATGATATGGGATCTATATTATAAATAGATCGAATGAAATCAATCGTATCTTCTTCTATCGGTAACTTGTATGAAGGAGTGATAGTCATGCTTAACTGTCTTCACTATCGTAATCCTGTTAATGTTTCAACATACATTCATGCATCTACCAATCCCACACGTGCACTTGACCAGGTAAGCAGCTATCCAGCTTGGCACATGCACAACGTAAGCTAAGCCAGTGAGAAATTCGTGGCATATGTATATGTACGTGTGTATTGGCAGTGTAAGCTACATGTCTGCATGATTGCCGGATCTTGCTAAATCTCCGGTGCTGGGCGCGTCGTGGTGGAGGTGTACCTGAGACATGGTGGGGGGTGGGGGGGGGGGGGGGGAAACTGTGGTAAAGATAAGGATGCGTGCATGAATGTTGGGTTATGCGAAAGGCAGGGAGGGAGAGAGAGAGGTAGAGAGGTAGAGAGGAAGTATGTTGGATGTGGGATCGGTATAGCGTATTGTATACTCTGTTTATTTCTCTTTCTTTCCCCTCTTGGATACTGCTTATAGCGAACACCATAATCAACCTACCTATTTTTATTATTATTGCCCATCACACCATGGTTTATTTCTACAAGTGAATTCAGCGTGCAAACGCAGTGAATATCGCTAGTTTGTGTTTTGAGATGATGTTGCACTTTCTCACTTATCTTTTACTCTTAGAACAACAACACCGCCCGCCTTTCTTTTCCAGAGAGAAAAACAGACGAAACCCAGACTTCCCCAGCGCCATTCATATAACCCCTTGGAATGCGTCACTCTCTCTTTCGCACGAAACACGACGCACAAAACCTTCCAAGCTATCGTAGGCAACAACAAAACGACACCTCCATACCTCCATACACTTCCTGTTGCCTGAAAAAAAAATCCACAATTGACAAAAAAGCGCACAGAAGCGAACCAAGTCACCAGCTACTACTGGTAGTGATGGTGTTCTCGGAGCAACCCAGCACCCCGCTACGCAGCATCGCCAGCCCGTTATCCGCAGCACGCCTTAAAATCGGGGGAATAAACGCCCCGCCCAAGTACTTAGTTAGCCTTGTCATCCTACGTAGCTCCGTGTCACGCACACACAGACATGCGCGATGTGCGCCACACAGCTCTAGATGCCGCATGGTGGAAATCTTCTCTGGCAGCACGCAATTGGCGGGACGTGGCCATCGGTAGTCAGAAGGAAAGAAGCACTGGCAACTGCATGCCGTGTGTGGTCTTACCAAGCAGAAGTGTAGTGGGTCGCTGATTACGTCTTTTTGAGTGGGTGGGTAGGTGGGCGTTGAGGCTGAAGTGCAGGACCGGGTTGACGGGTTGCAGTTGCGGTGGTGGTTGTGTGATTCTTCTGCTGGAGATGCTACTTGATGGCTAGCTAGTCCGAGATGCGCAAATGTTGGGCCGGCATATGCGAGAGCTGTGGTGGGCCTGACGATACGCCCGACAGGTGAAATGGGGGTTTTGGTCCGTCAAAGGTAAATGGCATGAGTGGGCTGAAAAGGGAGCTGATAGCATGTATATCTACGATGACCTGGCATACTGAGCAAGTAGTGGGTGTGGCAGCTCAATCAGTCAGACCGTTAGATCTCTTGCTACTCAGCTTTATTCTCGTTCATCTTACGTTGGCGACATTGTGTTCGTTTTGTTTAACAGTTTGCTCGTAGCTTTGGGCTCTCCCCTTTCACTGGTCACTTAATCCTACTCGAAGTAAACATGGCTAGTCCGTTATTGCAGCCTTCTGAAGACGTAGCGAAGCCTCAGATACCCCTCTCGGAGCCTGCGACTGCAACGGCATCTGAGCAGGGCGAGGCACAAGAAGTTGAAAGGTTCAACCCGGGATGGCGCTTCCTGGCTGCTTTTGGTAGTCTTTGCATTATAACGCTCATGGCGGCTCTAGATGCTACTTCGATATCAGTCGCACTTCCAGTAGGTCCATGACAGTTCAAGTGTTCAGGGCCATGATTAACAGAATACAGATCATGGCCAAAGCACTAGGCGGATCTGCGATTGAAGCGTTCTGGAGCGGGACTTCGTTTCTATTGACATCGACTATTTTCCAGCCGGTCCTCGGATCGTTCTCGCACATCTTCGGAAGAAAGATATTGATCTATATTAGTCTAGGATTCTTTCTTGTAGGATCCATTGTTCCCGCTGTTGCTGGAAACTTCACCGTCATCCTGGTAGGCCGTTCTATCCAGGGCGTCGGAGGCGGAGGCATCATTTGCTTGACAGAGATGGTGGTCGTTGACACTGTCCCTCTGCGTGAGCGAGGAAAGTGGCTCAGCTTCTTTGGTGCCATGTGGTCGATCGGCACTGTGGCTGGACCTCTTCTCGGTAAGTAGTCATAGTGCAATGCAATACAATGCCAGTGGCTAATGGCTTCCAGGTGGCGGCTTCTCGCAAAACGTCACTTGGCGGTGGATTTTCTGGATCAACCTTCCGTTCATCGGCGTTGGCGCTGTCATGATCGCCGTCTTCCTCAAGCTCAACCAGAAGCACGGGGGCTTCCTTGCTAAACTCCGTGAAGTGGATTGGGTTGGCATGGTGCTCTTCGTCGCGTCTACAACATCATTCTTAATTCCCGTCACCTGGGGCGGAGTGCAGTATCCTTGGGACTCGTGGCGCACGCTTGTGCCGCTCATTGTCGGGGCTGCCGGCATGGTTGGCTTTGTCTTGTACATTGAGTTTGTGGCCGCCAACCCGCTCATCCGCACATCGATCTTCAAGAACATGTCTGCTTGCCTCCTCTACATTGCCACGGTAATTCACGGCATCATACTGTGGGCGATCCTGTACTACCTGCCGCTTTACTTTGAAGCGGTCAAGGAATTTGGGCCGATTCTCACCGGAGTGGCCTTGTTCCCGTGGACATTTACAGTTGCGCCAGCCTCGATCGTGACTGGTATCGCCATCGCCGTGACGGGCACGTACCGGTGGGCCAATAGCCTGGGATGGCTCCTTGCTACACTGGGCATGGGCCTCTTGATCGTAATTAAAGTTGACACGTCTACGGTGGCATGGGTGTTCCTCTGCTTGGTGGGTGGCCTAGGAACAGGTCTCCTCTTCCCGGCTATGGCCTTGGGGGTGCAAGCCAGTGCAACGGCAAAGGACCAGGCGTACGCCGCCAACATGTTCTCCTTCTTGCGGGTATTTGGGCAGACGCTTGGAGTAGCCATTGGCGGCGTGGTGTTCCAAAATCAGATGAAGAGCAAGATGCTGACATATCCTCTGCTGGCCGACTTGGCGGGCGCGTATTCCCAGGATGCTGCGGGCCTAGTCCGGATCATCAAGGAGATGGAAGGTGGCGAAATGAAGGAGCAGCTCAAGGAAAGCTACACGTATGCGCTGAGATACATCTGGATTGTTATGCTGGTGTTCAGTGCAGTCGCTCTGATTAGCAGCTGGTTCATCAAGGCTTACGACTTGAATGGGGCTATGGACCAAGAGCGAGCATTTGTGGACAAGGACAAGGACAAGGATGTGGAAAAGAGCAACCAGGCACAGGCGTGAGGGTGCCAGGGGCGGGAATGTACGTACTATGGTTGGGGCGGTGTTTTGTTTAGGGGCAGCCCAGCGCGGCGGACATAGACGATGGCTGGATACATCTAGATGTAAAGGATAGACGGTGAGACATGTGTTGCAGGGTAGTAATGTATAATTTGTCGGGGTTTCGTCTGGTCGAATTTGGACGCGTCCGTTCTCCACCTGGGCTAAGAGACGGCCGTGAGAGTATTTTTGGGTAGAGGCGGGTGGGATCTGCTCAAGGTGGTCCGAGCGGGCCAACGCCCGGGCCGCCGACATGGCCTCGTTGATATGTGAAACGCGCCGTCTGCCGTTGACAGGGCGGCCAGGTGGCAGCGTTGCGTCATTGCGATGGCGGGCAAAGACAGAAGGCGACATGATTCAACAGACAGCGACGGCGGGCGGCGGAGACGGCGAGGTGGCAGAGGGCGAGGGCATGGCGGCGGAGATGGGGTGATGTCAGACACGAGCGCTGCGCAATGTGGGCGCAGGTGAGGGCGGCCTGGGGCATAATGCCAAACGACCAGGGTCTCGGATGGGGCAGGCGAGAAGCCGCGGGTGCTGCTGACGGTGGTGGTGAGTGGGCAGCGGCGCAGAGGCGACCAAACAAGCTGGCCGTGTGGTGTCGTCGACGAGTGCAAGGCGGACATGCACATGTACCCAGGCCCACAGCCACGGAGCCGCGCCAGCAGCGACAGGGCGGCCAGAGGCAAATTGGCAGATGCAGCGCTATCTATACATAACGTGTATGGCGCCTGTCGGGAAAGTGGGCCAGGTCAGACAACGGCGGCGCAGCGCAAAAGCATGGCCGTGGTGGTGTCGGCTGTCGAGGGAGCGGTGCCGGCAGCTCCGGCACCTTCTTGGGCGCGTTCCTGGCGCGGGCGGACCGGTCTCTGGGGCGCGTCGACTAGCAGCAGTAGGCGTGTGTAGGGTGGTGGTGGTAGTGGTAGTCGACATATAGTGTGGCCGTAATAACGCGGCAGCAGTGTGGTGAAGAAGTATTTGCGGCGCCTGTCGAATCACAGGCGCATCCCGACGGCTGGCGTGTCCATGCAAGCCCCGAAGCCGCTAGTCTCAGCTTGGCGAACCAATCAGGGGCGCGCTCCCGGCCCACCCGGGCCATGTCTCCCCTCCGCAGCGTGTCCCCCCCCTTTGCCCACCCACGCCCGTCTCTGACAACACCCGTGTACTGTGCGAAAAAGCAGCGCGGGACGGCCGCCATCCTTCCACCCACCGCGCCCTCTGCCCTCACCTCAGTCATTCGTTTCAGCATCCCACGCCAGATAGCAGCGCGCTGCACCTAATACCTCGCCCTTCCCACACGCCCGCCCACACGCCCATTCACTGCGCGCCAAGCCCTGTTTCCCCCCCCGGCCGCTCTTGCCCGCCCAACGCCTCGCCCACGCGCCCACGACCGACCGACTGACAGACGGACCGTCCAACTCCGAGCCTCTCCATTCTCCATTCTCCATTCTCCTTCCGCCACACGCTGCACCGCGCCCGCCGCCAGCCCACGCGACACTGCTCCGCGGCCATCGCCAACCCTCTCCTCGCCGCCTGTACCTGCCTGCCTTCCCGCTGTTCTGCCGCTGCCGCCCATGCCGCTGCCGACCCTGGCCACGTCTCCTTGGTGAACCAGCTCGACTCCTTCGCATCGGCACTGTATTCTTTCCATCCGCCGCGCCACCCACTGCGGCCATGAGGGACTCGTTCGCTGCCCTTTTGCGCACGGGGGCCGGCAAGCTCGCCCTCTCGCTGCTGATCGCTTCGCCCGCCGCCGCCATCACCTTCAAGCAGGTCCCGGATCCTCACCTGAGCCTCGGCGACCTAGGCCGCATAGCCTTCACCGGAGACTTTGACTCAATCTCGCTATATCAGTACGAAGGCCAGAGCCAGCAGTATCCCGGCCGCAATGGCGCCCTGCTGTCCCGCTATCCCAATGGTGTCTTTGCTACCATCAACGTCACCGACGCCGACATCAAGGCCATGTGCTCGCTGCCCATCAATGGCGCCGAGCGCGTCATGTTTGCAGGCAACTTTACTGGCGTAGGCAACATGCCCACGCCCGGTGGCATTGCCCTGCTGGATCCCACAAACGGCAAGATCCAGGCACTCCAAGGCCTCAGCGGCTCCGTAAACGCCTTGTACTGCGACAGAAACGCTGGACGCGTCTATGTCGGTGGAAGTCTGACCGGCGGCAATTCGACAAATGCCCTCATCTGGGACAATGGCTGGCAGGATCTCTCTTTCAACGGCTTCAACGGCGCCATCCATGCCATCACTCGCGCCCCTAATAACAACATAATATTCGCAGGGGATTTCAACGGCTTGGGAGGCAATGCCTCGACCGTCGTCAGCGCGAACAACACGCAGCTCATTCCCATATCCAGCGCACGCATCTCGGCTCAGACAAGCTCGGGTCTCAATGGACTGACCGACCCCAAGAACATTGCTTGCAAACCCGACTTCTCAACACAGGGCCCTGGCTCTACCTGGTTGATGGCCGATAGGGCCAGTGGTTTCTGGAGGGCCGACTTTGGCTTCGGTTTCCAGCCTACCAGCCTGAAATTGTACAACACAAACTTGGACGGCCGAGGCACCAAGACATTCCACTTTACGGCACTTCCGGATGGCGGCATCATGAACTTGACCTATACCAATCCTAGCACCGGAAAAAAGGCCTTTTGCGACCTTCGATGTCCCTTGCCCGAGGGCAACACCACGGCCCAGGAGTTTTCCTTTGTCAACCTGGTCGGCATGAACGCTTTCCGCATCGACATTACCGATTTCTACGGAGCCGGCGCTGGTCTGAATGGAATTGAGCTCTTCCAGGATGCCATGTACTCGTACGCCGTCAATGACTTCAACGAACCCAAAAACTGCGGTCCCACTGGTACAAAGTCACAATCTACCAACACGGGCACATGGCAGACGACTCCATCACATCAGAGCATTTCCGAGTATCTTACAACCGTTCTTCAAGGCAGCCCAATCGACGTCAACGCAGCAACCGTCACCTTTATTCCCGACATCAAGCAGTCTGGCAACTACTCAGTCACCATCTACACGCCTGGATGCCAGGGCGACGGCACTTGCGGTACCCGCGGCCGCGTCAACGTAACGGCCGTGACAGGCGGTAAGAGCGAAAGCACTGAACTTTGGCAGACCAACAACTTCGACAAGTACGACGAAGTCTATAACGGCTTTATTGATGCCACTAGTGGCGCTCCCCCGCGAGTCATTCTTCAGCCCGCCGCTGGACAGGCCCCCGGACCCTTGACTGTTGTGGCACAAAGGGTGCGCTTCACACTTTTGAAGGCCACTTCTGGAAATCTGAATGGTCTCTTTGAGTATAAGCCTGGCCAGAAGGTAAATGCCGACGACCTATCCAATTCCGTCATCAACGCCGCTGGCGCCAGCCTCTCGCCCGCGGAGAAGGCCTTTGTCACGAGTTTGGCTACAGACAATGACAATCTTTACATTGGCGGATCCTTCAACACCAGCGATGGCAGGAACAACATCTTTTCCATACGCCAGGGCGCTACCGACCCCACCGCCCTTGCTGGTAAGGGGCTTAACAACCAGGTCATGACTTTATTCCAGAATGCCAGCACCCTGTATGTCGGTGGTAACTTCACCAACACGGTTGACAACAACGCTCCTGGCCTGCGCGGAGTGGCCGCTTATGTCAACAACCAGTGGCAACCTCTTGGAGCCGGTGTAGATGGTGTCGTCCTTTACCTCGTACCCTTTTCGCTCAACGTCACTGCAAACACGCCCGAGGATGTCCTTGCCGTCAGTGGTTTCTTTAGCCAAGTCAACGCCTTTGGCAACAATCCTAGCACCAGTGTCAACGACTTCGCCGTCTGGGTTCCCTCCCGTGGCAACTGGCTACACAACCTCGATTTTCACTCCCTCGCCATGTCGGGTAGACTTATGACGTTTGCCGATGTTCCTGGAAGTGATCGTTGGTTCGGTGGTTCTGTATCTTCAGGCGCCCTCCTCGCAAGCGGTACGGCCGAGCTGGACAGCGGAAACCAATTGTCGCTGCAAGCGTTCCCTGCCAACATCCAAGCACAGCGCCAGCAACAGCAACAGCGACGCAAGCGAGCCGTTATTGATCAGCAGAATGTGAATACCACGGGAATCCGCACTGGCACCTTTTATAAGCAAAACGGCATGAACAAGACTATTCTTGCTGGTCACTTTGCTTCGACGGGCTCCAACAATGAGAACATCACCAACGTCCTTATCATTGACGGCAACGACTCGAACAAGATCACCGGTTTCAACGACGAGCTGTATGCCAACTCTACCTTTGCTGCTGTCTCCGTCTTGAACAACATCCTGTACGCTGGAGGCATGATCAGTGGACAACTCAACAAGGATCGTATTGCTGGCATCGTCGCCTACGATCTGTCCAAAAATCAATTCACTCCCGTTCAGCCACCGCCGCTCCAGGGTGTCAACGTCAGTGTCAACGCCATTGCGCCTCGACCAAAGTCCAATGATGTCTTTGTCGCTGGTCGGTTCCAGTCTGCTGGAGCCTTGAGCTGTGCTGCGCTCTGCATCTGGAACACTGAGCGTAACCAGTGGAACACTGCAGGTAACGGTATTCAAGGCGAGGTCTCTTCGCTGATATGGGTTGGCGACAACAATCTTTTGATTGCTGGCAACCTTACGTCGGGCAACAACGAGACCAAGATCCTTACGTTTGACTCTCAGAACGGTGCATTCGCCGTCGTTCCTGGTGCCAGCGAGCTGCCAGGTCCGGTCACTGCACTTACTATTGCCAATAGCGCTGGAGACCAATTCTGGGCTGCTGGACAAGCCGACGATGGCTCTACCTACCTGCAGCGATTTGAAGGAAGCAAGTGGTTACCGGCCGACAAGTCAATCTTCGGCGCCAACACCAACATTCGCGGTATCCAAGTGCTTTCCCTGTCGCAATCACATAACACTTCACAAATCATTGACGCAGGCCAAGATCTTCTTCTCATGGGTCACATCAACATCACCTCGTTTGGGACTGCCTCTGCCGCGCTCTTCAACGGCACTACACTGACTCCTTTCCTGCTTGCCACCAAGGGACAGGATGGTGAGTCGGAGCCAGGAAGCTTGTCTTCCATCTTTGTGGAGAACCCCAATTCGTTCTTCCTCAAGTCGGGTCAGTTACTCTATGCAACACGACATGGTATGTTTGCTAACTAGTCATAGACAAGCACCTAGCACTCTGGGCTATTGTCCTCATCGGCCTTGCCATCGCTCTCGTCCTCACCTTCTTGCTCGTCGTCATTGGCATCATCATGGAATGGTTCCGCAAGAAGCGACAAGGCTACTCTCCTGCCCCTACAACCTATCCTGATCGGCTAGGGAACGTAGGACGCGTACCGCCGGAGCAACTCTTTGGAAACATGTCCGGACCACGAGGAGCCCCGGCGATATAAGTCGCGTAAGCATACGCGAGATGCATGCTGGTATTGCGCCGACCCAACCAGCTTTTAGTAACTCTAATTCTAGTGGAAATGGTAATCAAAGTAATAATGTCATGGGCAATTGGAGAGCGGCGGATGGAAACCGCAGCCATGCGTCCCATGTTTAGGATGCCGTTGGCCCCGGAAATGATCTCGAGACACGCCTAGAGTGTCGAGTCTGCCCGTGTCATCTTTCTTTGAAATTCCATGAAGCAACGCCCGTTCTGTCAACAATCCATGGAGAAGAGTATTTGCGCATCGCCTCCGTCGCATTTCCGGATCTTGCAAAACAGCAATCGGTCCCCGTGGAATTGATATATCGGGACTTTTTTCTCCTCATTTGGCCATTTTGGCAACATTACATGGAGAGACATGGTGCGTTCATCGGTTGGGAATCTGTTCGGACCTCTTTTCTCCGTCTCTCACCTCAGCCTGTTTGGGCCTATTCGAAAAGCCTCGACGTGCTCCTTTTTCTTTGCTTTTTTTCTTTCGGTAGTAGTGAGTTTGATACCACGTGGCTGGCGCGCATTGCACGCCGCCCCTAAGATTCTCTTTTCTTCTTTCTTTTCACCATGACTCTGTTTTGCATTTTGCATTGTGCATAAGCGAAGAGACTTTTTTGTGTACGTCTTCTCGTATACACGTGTTTTTGTCAGTTTGAGTGAAAGGGTGGGTGTGTCCGTTGCAAGTGGTAATGTGTATGTATTCGTATTGATGCGGAATGAGGGGGTAATAGGACAGGGGGTGAAGCAGGGGGGTGAACGCCGCGGAGAGAAGGAGGTGAAGGAGAATGAGAGAGCGAGCAAGAATGAACATACGCTTTGACTGAGACGAAATTGGGCAAAGGGGAGTTGAGGGGATGTGTTTGGCGGAGGTAATGATGCCTAGTCGCTGTCTGTCAGTGTATGTATCTTGCAGCCTCGGAGAAATCCGTAATTCAATCTCCCGTCTTATATTTGCCGCCCATCTGCCGTGGTCTCTCCAATCAACAAGTACGAGATGAAAGAAAAAGCCCACATCATTGGCGGTCCAAATCAGTCAACATGCGCTTCAACACAGTGTCCGTGAATGCCCAAACAGTAGAACTGTACTGCGCACCCCACGCATACCCCGTATACCAAATGTTCCTGTAACCCTGGAGTGAATACAAGTCCTGCACGAATCCCTTGCGCAGCTCTTCCGCCGACTGCGGCCACCACGGCCTCGTATGATCCGACACGGCCTTGAAGTCGACATCGCAGTGTGCGGGATCAGCAGTAGCATTACCCACCGCGCCCTCGCGCAACACATCGCCCACACTCTTCCGCACCAGCTCCTTGAGGCCCTCCGCAGAGACGGTGTAATTTGCGCCGAACACGACGCGGAACAGCGACTCGCCCGCGGGGCCCGTAGAATCCAGTCGCAAACTGTACGGCCAGTCTTTGATCTTGAGCTGCTTGCTAGGCACCACGGCCGAAGGCAGATGGGTAATGGACGTTTTCTCCGGCAAACACTTTGCTTTGATGATGCCGACGAACTCGGCGCCTTGGGGCCATTTCGCCACGGCCGAGGCTTCTTTGGCGTCCGGGTGGAAGGGCGCCAGGTTTTTGGGGGTAGGGGGCGCGGTGAAGAGGATGCGCCGGGCTTTGATGGTGTATTTCTTGCCACTGCCGCCTTGCGCTACCGATAGGATAAAGTGGTCTGGAGTGCGAACGGTCTTGGTTACCGTGCTGGAAAGTAGCACGTCGCTGGATAGCAGGGAGAGGGCGCGTTCGTACAGAAGACTGTTGTTTGGCACGGGGTGGAACAGGGTGCCGCTTAGCAGGTCTATATGTTTGCACGTTAACACTGGAAGAAAGCTCATAGATACATATAGAGCGAGTTAAGAACACACTTACCTTTCGTCAGTGCCGCACCAAACGCCTGGAAAACAGTCAACGTGAGCAGCTCTCTCACACCTCCATATCCCACGCCCGAGATAGTCACAATACGCGGCACCGCAGCCTCGATATTGTTCTTTTGCGCAAACTCCTCAAACGGCATGAGGAAATCCGCGGGAATCGCATTTGGGGCCGGGAAGTCCCAGTACCCGGGCTCGAGGTACTGCTGGTATTTTTGCGTGATGGTGAGCCACCGCGCAAACGCCCCGTTGGTTGCATTCGCACTCGGAGCCGTATAGCCTGCGAGCAGCTTGCCTGTCTCGACGTCGACGTTGATGGGCGTGAGGCGCTGGCCTGCAAAGGGCTCTGTGGCGATGCCGAAGCGCGCGAAGAAGTCGGTTGCAGGGCCGTAGGGGAGATAGGACTGCACGCCGTAGTCGACCGAGGCGTTTGTGCCAGGCACGCGGTAGGTACTTGTATGGCCGCCGAGGTTGGGGCGCGTCTCAACGATTACAATGCTCTTGTGCAGGTCTTCGCGGAGCCGCACTGCTGCGTAGGTACCGGATGCGCCGCCGCCGATGATGGCGACATCTCTGATTATCTCGGAGGGTGCTGTTGCGACGACGGTGTCAAGACCAAGTGCGAGAAGCACGAGGCTGTGTGCTGTGAACATGGTTGCGTGGACGTGGCACTCATGCTCTGAATTGTGGCTTGCGATTCCTTAAGTATGCGTTTTCCCATGTCGGCATCGCATGCTCGTATTATGGTCTGTTGTAGAGTGTTTCTAGACCATTGCGGCCAAGTCGAGTACGAAGGGGTAGTACGCCGGTCAATCGCCTTCATGGAAGATGCTGGGTGCAGCGGAGCAAACTACCAATGCTTCTCATCCTGCTGCACGCCGGATTACCATGCATGTCGAATCAAGTCTATGTTGAGTCTTGGGGTTATAGCTTTGGCCCCAAGCACTATACCGCATTGAAATGAAGCCGCGCTGGCTGCGCCCTATGGAACATGAGGCTAATTCCAAAAATAGATAATACAGCGTTATTACGACTGTGCCTCAGACATGCAGGTAGGGCCTAAGCTGGGATTTCCAGGGCCCTTGCAGCAATGCGAGTGGGAAGAAAGATATTGTTTTGAGTGTGATGCCCCCGGCAGTTTACATGCAGCTGCCAATTTCTCATGTGCCATGCATTGGCACATGCTGGATAGCCGGCAAAGGGTCAACTTGGCTTGTGGCACAGCGCGGGAAATGTTGAGCCGCAGGGTAATTTGTCGGGTAGAACGGATTGGCGTCAATGGGAGGCCTGTCTGGGAAAAAAAGGCTCCGGTGACGCAGTTACACGGCAGGAAGACAGTTGCACTACTGCGCGTTTGAAAAGGTGTGGTTCTGGATGTATATGATGCGTGATGGGGATTGTCAGTGGGAGGCATAGTTTTGGGAATAGATAGGATTATGAGATACAAGGGACAAACGCTGATGTGACTAAGTCCTAGTAATACCATAGCTGGGTTCTAAGGGGCGGATTAATGTTGAGTGGAGGCATATGTACTTACTCCGTGCCACAATCTATTTTTCCGCCTGAGAACCTCTGGAGCATGATATGTAGGTATGAGATGACATTTGCATTGCACTGAAAGCAGTCCTATTATATCGCAAACTTATCACAGACCCAGGGGAACAAAGTATACATTTGACCATGCTACGAGGCCATTGGATATAGGAGGGAAATGCCTGCTGGTATCCATGGACGACAGCAAACTTACCCTATATTCGTCAACGAATTCTTTTTCAAAGCGACAGTATGAAGCACATACAAAACCGGCACATTATCGCTTCGAAGCTGAGCTTTAACGACTATTGTTTCCATTATTGAGCGTCCTAGGCACCGGTGTTACTTATACGAGAGACCCTCTGTCAAATACCCAGAGGGAAATGACCACCTGTCTTCTCCCATGGAGTTTAGCTCAGTCGACCATGAGGCGTAACTCGGCCTACCATGACCAATACCCAACTAAAATCTCATGGTAAGCCGAATTCCACCTCATGGTAAGCCGAACTTGACCTCATGGTCGGCCGAGCTATCCTCATGGTCAACCGAGGTAGTGCCGATTCCCATATAGGCAAGTACTATACCTTGTGTGGTTTGGCGCCATGGTAATGGCACTTTCTGCCCATGGTCGGCCGACGTGAGTCCTGTCACGAACTCACCTCGGTCTACCATGGACTAACCTAATTGGGAAACATCCCATGGTAAGCCATGCTATTATGAGGTTGTTCATGGTCGGCCATGCCGTTGTCATGGTAGACTGAGGTATCCCTATTTCCCACTTAGGAATTTTCATGGTAGGTTGATCTTCATCTGTGGTCGGCCGAGTTACGCCTCATGGTCGGCCGATGTCTGTCCATGGTAGGCCGAGTTGCATCTCATGGTAAGGTGAGGTATGTTTATGGTCGGCCGAGTTATGTCACTGCTCCTTTGAGTATAACCCCATGGTCAATCGAACTATTCTCATGGTAAGATGAGGTGTGTCCATGGTAAACTGAACTATTCTCATTACTGCTTTAGGTATAGTCATGGTACGCCGAGTTGCATCTCATGGTCGGCCGACCTTTAGCCATGGAATGCCGATCTTGGGTCATGGTAAACCCAACTACATCTCATAGTAGACTGAACTATGCTTGTTGCCCCTTTAGGCATGGCTCCATGGTATTTCCATGGTCTCCCATGGTCGGCCGACCTGTGTCCTCATGGTAGGCCGAGCTATCTTCATGGTAGAGTGAGCTGAGTGTCATGTTCGGCCGACCTTTCTCTACAGCAAACCAAACCAAATCCGACATCAAGACAAAAAACAGACGCACAACTCATGGTTTATACACGTGGTGACACTCGTTTATACCTATGATTGCAGCTGATGGGATTGGGCCATGTGTTGCGTGTAACTTCTGCGATAAATGTCAAAACAACCTGCATTTGAACAGCATATCCTATCAACATGTCAATTCCGCGTGTACTTTCAAGAACCAAGTATGCAAAGAAAAGCCAGCCTGTTGCTTAAATAATATACACAATTCCTTGAGGAAACCTCGATTATGGATTCATGAATCCACTGTTTAGAGTTCGCTGTGCTCAGGTGAGGGCTCAGAATCCTTGTCCTCTGCCTTTGGTGCCTTCTTGGTCTCTTGCTTTTCGCCAGCGACCAGAAGCGACTCTGGCAACTTCTCCTTCTCGCCCTCGCCCATGCGGATGGCATCGACCCATTGCTCAACCTCCTCGGCCCCAAAAGCGCTACCAGAGTACTTCTTGTACCAGGCACGCTTACCGTTGGTGGCGATGAGGTGTACTTCGTCTGCGCTTCCGAGACCCAGCTCCGTGGTCAGGATAGCCGCAAGAGGATTGGTTGCTGAAACACCAACAAAGGGGAAAAGATGGCTTCCAGAAACATCGTACTTCTTGTGGATGGAAGCGAGTGAGGCGATAGCAGTAGCAGCAGCCTCCGAGGTCTCGTCTTTGGGCAGGAGCGCCAGGATACAGGTCTTGCTCTTCTGGGTCAAGCACAGAGATTGAAGCTCGGCAGATTCAGAGACCAAGGGAATGGTTGGCTTGACTTCTTCTTCGGGAAGAACGACTGGGTTTGGTGTATCCTCATCCTTGACATTCGGGTTGGGCGATTCATTAGGCAGATCGGGCTCTTCGAGGGTCTCGTCGGTGGCTGATGCGGCGGCTGAAGAAGCGTCGTCTGACTTATGGGAAGCCGAAGCCTTTGCAAATTTGCTTGAGGAACTCGAGTCCTTCTTAGTGTCCCTCTTGCCCTTTGACTTCTTGGGTTTCGCAGGGGGGCAATCGGGGTTTGGTGGAGCGATCTGAGAAAGGAACTCGACCATGGCTGCCTTTTCAAGTTTACCATCATACTTGATTGGTGTGTCTGAGCTGACGGGAATGAGGATCAATGAAGGGTATTCAGTGATGCCATACTTTTCAACAGCTCCCTTTTCGGTCTTCCTGATTTGGGCGACCGAGACAATGCCGGCAAAGTCAATTGCTAGTGCCCTCATTGTAGCGCTAACAACTCCCTTTTCACTAAACAGGATTGCCTTGGCTGTATCCTTGTTCTCTTGTAGCCATTCATCAAGGTTCTTGTCGTTCACTCTCTTGACTGAGTTGGGGACCTTGTCCTTGACAGCTTCTACAATGCCCTTGGCCGAACGGGCGCCTTGGTAGTCCTCCACCGTGGGTTTGCCTTGTTTCTTGGAGGGACGAACGATCTTGAGAGTAGGAAAGCCCTGGACACCCATTTTCCCGCAAAAGGGCTTGTTCATCTCCTCGTCACAATTGATGGCAGCGACCTTGGCGATGCCTTGGAGAGATTTGGCGGCCGTTTCGTAAGCAGGCTTGAGGTTCTTGCAGTGGCCACACCATGGCGCGTAGAATCTACGAGGCGTAAGCATGCGGCAGTTGGGAAAGATGGAGAGGACGCCTTACTCGACAATCTGAGACGTGGTTAGCTTGACAAACCCAAATCATGGATGAGCATACTCACTGAAGTGTAGTTTGACTTGGCAATGACGCGGTCGTAGTCCATGCCTGTGATTTGGACGACGGCGCTGTTCTTGGAGTACATGCTCTCAGCGTGCGCATTGAGGGCCAGCGCAGCGGTGGCCGCGAACAAAGTCGTTGTGCGCACCATGGCTAGTGTGTGGTGTCGGAATGTGTGTGTGCAGGTGAATTAGGAGACCAGGAGGATGAGTGAGGCCACTGCCGTGCTTATACTCATTTATCTGGCCTTGTTGCCAGGTTGGCCTCTTCTCTTTTCTGTAACAGCTTGCCAGTGTCTATCTGGCCATAGCTGCGATGCGGGGAGACAGGGGGGTGCCTGATCGCTAGTGCTAGCGCCTATGACCGCATCCTCCATCCATCGCCCGCCAATCTGCCGAGGGGAAGAGAAGCCTAGAGCTTTGCACTCAACACCACCACCACACCACCGCCACATATTCCACCGCCACATATTCCACCGCCATGGCCAGCGTCACTCCAGCAAAGCTCAAGAAGCTGCAGCTCGCGGAACCGGCCAAGCGGGCGGCCCAGCTCGAGCGCATCAAGCCCATCATCACCTACTGGCGTGAGTACCGCTGATGCCCTATGCGCCGACACAAAGGACGCGTGCTAATGGCGCTACAGTGCGCTTCTACATGGTCCAGAAAATCATCGCGGGCGGGCTGCACTCGGCCGACCAAGAATGCACCGCCTACACGACCGATCTCATGGAGCGGCTCGAGCAGGCAAAGGCCGAGAACCCCAGCGAGGATGCCTTGGTCGACGACACCGTCGCAAGCGCCTACTGCGAGCAGTTTGCCCTGCAGACGCTGGGAAAGGCAGAGAGGGAGATGGCAGAGAATAGAGTCAATGGGTTTGTCATGGCCCATTGCGCCGTCACCAAAGCCCAAGCTAACTGGCGTCGATAGGCAGACCGTCGACACGCTGCGCGCAGCGTCCACCTTTCTCGAGATGATGTCGATATGGAAGAACAACGACGCCGAAATCGCCGCAAAAACAAAGTATGCAAAGTACCACGCTCTGCGCATTCTCAAAGCTATCAAGGCTGGCGAGGACCCCAACGCCACCAACCCAGTGCATGACACTCCAGAACAGCCCGTGTCGCCGCCTGCCTTGGATCCAGAAGATCCCGAAGTGCAGCGCATAAACCAGGCCGCTGCGGCCCAACCTCCAGAGAACCCCTATCAACCCTACGTCGAGTCGGCTCCTGACACCTCTGTACAACCCTCGCCCAGCCTCTCTGCACCCCCGGTGTCACCCCCTCCTCCCAATCTCCCTTCAGCGCCTACAGGATACACACATACATCGCACAGCGACGTGTCTCCCATTTCACAGCCTGCCCAATCGCGGCAGGGCTCCGTTACTTCTATTGGTGGGGGCTATTTCCCCAAGACGGATCCTCCCACCTTCACAGGAGAATCAGCGCCACCAGGCCTCCCAACAGCGCCCATGGATAGAGATCCTCTGACCTCCTCTCTGCCAACTAGCCCACAGGTACCACAAGCACCAGAAGCTTCCGATCCTTCAGGCTTCTACCAAAACACTGCATCTCCGCCAGCAGCAGCTCCTACGCAAAATTCGTACCAACCTCCACAAAATCAATTTGCATCGCCCTCTCCTCAACCACCCCAACAGCAGTATGCGCCACCGACGAGCGCTTTCCCGCCTCAGCAACAGTATCCACCAGCACCTCATCAGAACCCATATGCACAACCGCCGCCGCCTTCTCAACCTCCACAACAGTTTTCCAACGGCCCGTTCAGAAACGATGAAGACTCCATCATGTTGGCACAAAAGCATGCCAAATGGGCCATCTCTGCTCTGAACTTTGAAGATGCGGATACTGCGGTGAAAGAACTGCGTACGGCTCTGAGGGCTTTGGGAGCATAGAATTTGGATCGAGCGATGCGGTCTGAAAGATTTTGATATCTTGCATTTTTGAAGCTCATGACGTTTGTTGGCTTGCTGTATACCCATGGTTGTAGATAGATCCACCATACAGAGAATAAACCCGGTGAGGGTGTGCTACATTGAAAATGACATTCAACCCGTAAAATGTTCCCTGGACTTTGTCCTTTCGGATCCCAGTTCGGAAAGCATTTCCGACTTAAAGAGTGTGATGCACAATTTTCTTCGTGTGCACCAAGTGATGTCGTAGATAAGAGCGGCCGCCACTACTTATACTAGAGTATGAAACTATGTATCCTCTGGATCACGGTAAAGAGAGTCACTCAACAGACCCAGAGCGCAATCTCACTTCATGTCTGCATCTGCCCTAGTACAGTGCCAAGCTCCGTGCGTGCACGTGCACGTGCCTTTGCATCAGAGCTTAAGAACCTCCAACTGAAGCTCATTTTTTGCTTCCCAGCGACCTTCACGACACAAGGCCAAACCGCCTGCAGTCATGCCTCTAGTGAAGCCCCGCACAAGCTGTAACTCATGATACAGCGGCGATAATGGCGCCCATCACACCTTTCAATGCGGCGGATATAACTGAAAAAGCGCGGCGGGAGCTGCTGCTTCTGCTCGAGGGTGTAAGGTAATATCAGCGCCGCAATGTGCTGCACCGTCTGACACACACAAACAGATACGAGGAAAGAAGAACCTCGTGCTGGAGAAGAGCCTGGCCGGCCCGCTGAACCTGCTTGTCAAGTTCTCGACGTTGCAGGAATATGGCGTTGACAAGCCCTTCTTCCTCGAGAACGACAACGTCGACTCCTCACAGCGCAACATTGTCTTCCTTGTCAGAGGCGAGAAAGCAAAGACGGTCATGGCTGTTGCTGGTAAGTGAAGCTTCTCAGCTTCCTTGCTTCACTCTCTCATGCTTGACAGCATGCTTTTGGGTCAAAAAGTAGGCTAGGCAGATCTTTTACCTACTCTGTCTGGCCAGTCTTGATCCCTAGAATAAAGATAGCGCTTTTATTGGATTGCCTGTTATCTCCATATAGGATCAGTCTATTGTACGGTGCTAACATTGTAGATAGACCAAATAAAACGTATTCGACGCGACAGCGAAATTGAACATGAATTCTCCATTTTCTGGGTGCCCCGCCGCACTCTGACCTCCGACCAATTGCTTGAAGAGGCGGGCGTCTTGGGTGAAGCCAATGTGAGCGAGTGGCCATTGTTCTTCGTGCCTCTTGCAGATGATGTGCTGTCGCTTGAGCTCGAAGATGCCGTGCCGGACCTGTATCTCGTATGTTGTGTCGCATGTCCATCGTCGAGCTGAGACTGACTCCTCCAAGAAAAAGGACCCGACCGCCATCTATCTGTCGGCCAAAGCACTGATGCTGCAGCAACAAAAGTACGGCCTCTTCCCACGAATCATCGGCAAAGGTGATAACGGAAAGCGTCTCGCAGACTTACTAGTTCGCATGCGTACTGAGGTCGCAGCAAGCGAGACGTCTGCTGGCGGAGGACCGTCGTTTTTGGGCCTAACACCCAGCTCTCACATGGACAGCCTCATCATTATCGATCGAGAAGTCGATTTCCCTACCGTACTGTTGACTCAGCTGACCTATGAGGGCCTTATTGATGAGGTTTTCAATATCTCCGCCAACCAAACAGAAGTCGACTCCTCGGTTGTTGGTGGTGCAGCGCCTCAGCAAGACCAGACTGGTTCGGCGTCCACGAGCATGAAGCGCAAGGTCATGATTGACGCAAAGGACACACTGTATGCTGATCTCAGTGATGCGAACTTTGCCATTGTAGGCAACCTTCTAAACCAAGCCGCTCGGCGGCTCCAAAGCAGCACTGGACGTGACCAGCTTGCCACAAAGACGACTTCGGAGCTGCGTGACTTTGTCGCAAAACTTCCTGGCTATCAGGCCGAGCAAGCTAGTTTGAAACTGCATACCAGCCTTACGGAAGAGATTATTAAGTTTACACGAACGGATATCTTCACACGAAGCCTAGAAGTACAGCAGAACATCATGTCCGGCGCGGATCCAACTACACAGCATGAAACCATTACCGAACTCATCAACCGCGATGTATCGCTTTCCACCATCCTGCGTCTATTGTGCTTGGAAAGTACAACAAATGCGGGCCTTCGCCCCAAAGACCTAGAAAACTTCAAACGCGCCATCATTCAAGCATATGGGCCGCAGCATATGCTCACAGTCGCAGCTCTCGAAAAGATGGGCTTACTGGCCCAACGAGGCGGCGTCAGTCTCGGTGGCGTAGGCGCACCGGCGAAACCGGGCAGCGTAACAAACTACACGCCATTGCGGAAGAGTCTTAAGCTATGGGACGATGATGTCAACGAAGCAGATCCAAACGACATCTCCTACACCTTCTCAGGCTACGCACCACTGAGCGTCCGCCTGGTCCAATCCATCATCCAAAAACACACGCTCGCAAATATGATCAAGCCCCCCTCTGATCCCAGGGCTTCCGCGCAAGCAAATCCCCTTGCCCAAGGCCTCCGCATCTTCGACGATGCAACAAAATACATACGCGGCACAACGTTTGACGAGGCGCAAAAGGGAGAGGAGAAAGCCGTCAAAGCAAGACAGCTGCTCAACGGAAGCCAAGCCGAGAAGAACAAGACTGTGGCTGTCTTCTTCCTCGGAGGCGTCACAAGAGCGGAAATCGCTGCCCTACGATTCATCGGTAGTAAGCTGAAGGAAACGGGCGGCGAAGGCAGGGGAAGCCGTATTGTAGTGTGTGCGACGAATATGATTCGAGGCGATGATCTGGTTGGCGGTGCGGTTGAGACTAGGAAATTCAAGGGCTGATTGATTGACTGATTGATTGATTGAACGAGTCAGTATGTGCAGCGCAGGGTGTCTAAGGATCTTGGTCTTTTGGGGGATTGATGCTAGTTCAAGGCAGAAAGTAGATGTGGTAATGACATGAGCAAGTATCAAGTTGTGCAATCTCAAATATAGATTGCCTGGAATATGCACATCTCTTTTTGCACGAGTTTGTTGCAGTTGCACCTGAACGTTCAACGGCAGCATCGCTGCTTCTATCACTCTAATGTCCTACATCTCGAACTGAGTACTGAAAACCACGTTTGAGCACACCCGCCCGTCGACCAGTGCAATTACGTGTTTTACATCTCATTGAGGACCTCAGATATATGGCTGATAACTTGCAAAGACTACCTTTCTGAATAGCATTCAAACTCACCAGCCAAGTCTATCTCACTGTGTTGTCGTGAAGCCCACTGCTTCGGCGTTGGACTCACGCACAAATCAGAATGCGGTTATGGCTGCTTCGTAGCTCTTGGTCAATGACTAGCTAATCTTAGTGGGCAGTGCGAACAGTAAGACATAGATCCATCCGAGTCTTGTTCTCACTTCCATACTTGATAGTAAGAGCTCAAAAAGATAACCAGCACCTGTTGCTAGGCTAAGCTCACACTACAACATCATCATCACATCCTCGAGAACCAAGCAAAGCCATATTCAAAAGTCATTTCAATTTCCTTTCCTATCTTTCTCTCTCTCCATGTATCTACCTTGTGAGCTACATAAGAGACAATGACCGCCAGGCGCATTTTTGCAGAACATCCATTACGATCGTTTCGTCAGGCATCGTCGTGAAAGCAGAAAGAAGACTTTTTTCACATCCCCGTGAATACCGGAAACGGAAACCCATGAAAGATGAAGGAACCAAACACACCAAGTCTATCGTTAAAAGCCGCAATAGAACAAACTCCGTTCGCAGCTCGCAGTCTGGGTATCCTGCACCTGCGCCCTTACTTCCTACCTGCCAACCCGTGTGGCACTCCTACCATGTGATACGCTTATCGGGTGGAGAAAGCCTTGGTGACAGTGCGCTTGAGCGCAAGCTCCTTCTTCTTCAGGTCCTCAGCAGAGGCATCCTCAACCTCGAGCTGGGCCATGGCATCAGAGAGGGCAGACTCAATCTTCTCCTTCTGGCCACGCTTGAGGCGGATGGAGGTGGTGGGGTCAGAGACCATCTCCTCAACACGGGAGATGTATGACTCGAGCTGCTGCCTCGACTCGAACTTCTTGCTGAAAGCCTCGTCGCTGGTCTTGAACTTCTGGGCGTCGTTGATCATGTTCTCAATGTCAGTCGACGAGAGCTTGCCAACAGCGTTGGAGATGGTGATGTTGGCGCTGCGGCCAGAGGTCTTCTCGGTGGCGGTGACCTTGAGGATACCGTTGACGTCGACCTCGAAGACAACCTCGAGGACGGCCTCTCCAGCCCTCATGGGAGGAATTGGGGCCAAGGTGAATTCACCAAGAGAGGTGTTGTCCTCGCAGTTGACACGCTCACCCTGGAAGACAGGGAACTGAACGGTCTGCTGGTTGTCGGCAACAGTGGTGAAAGTCCTCTTCTTGATGGTCTAGATAAAAGGTCAGCTAATGTCGAGGAATGTTCCATCAGTTTGGTACTTACAGGGACGGTCTGACCGCGGGGAACGACGGGAGCGAAGATGTTGCCCTCCATGGCGACACCAAGAGAGAGGGGAACGACATCGAGAAGGAGGAGGTCAGCAGTCTCGGCAGAGGTAGCCTTTCCGGAAAGGATACCAGCCTGGACGGCGGCACCGTAGGCAACGGCCTCATCGGGGTTGATGCTCTTCTCGAGCTTCTTGCCGTTGAAGAAGTCGCTGAGGAGCTTCTGGATCTTGGGGATACGGGTAGAACCACCAACAAGGACGATCTCGTCGACCTTCTCCTTGGCGATGTTGGCGTCCTTGAGAACCTGGGCAACAGGGTCCAGAGTGCCAGCAAAGGCCTTCTGGTTCAGATCCTCGAAACGAGCACGGGTGATGTTGGCGTTGAAGTCCTCACCGTCGAACAGCGAGTCGATCTCAACGGTAGTCTGGGTGGCGTTGGAGAGGGTACGCTTGGCACGCTCGCAAGCAGTTCGGAGACGACGAAGGGCACGAGCATCGCCGCTGATGTCCTTTTTGGTTTTCTTTGTGAATTCCTTTTTGAAGTGCTCAAGGAGGTTGGTGTCGAAGTCCTGACCACCTAGATAGTGTTAGAAAATGTTTTTTAGAGGTTGTAGTCCAAGTATTCATACCAAGATGAGTGTCACCAGCAGTAGCCTTGACAGTGAAAACACCACCCTGAATGTGCAGAAGAGACACATCGAAAGTACCACCACCAAGGTCGTAGATGAGGACGTTCCTCTCCTTGTCGGTCTTTCCGGAACCGAGACCGTAAGCGATAGCGGCGGCGGTGGGCTCGTTGATGATACGGAGGACGTTCAGACCAGCAATGGCACCGGCGTCCTTGGTAGCTTGACGCTGGTTGTCGTTGAAGTAAGCAGGCACAGTGATGACGGCCTTCTCGACCTTCTTGGCGAGCTTGGTCTCAGCGACCTCCTTCATCTGTGGCAATTTGTTAGCATGTGCCCCGCTGCATAGGGGTATGTGTGCGCAGATCGTACCTTGACGAGAACCATGGCAGAAATCTCCTGGGGAGAGAACTGCTTCTTCTCACCGAGGTACTCGACCTCGACGACGGGGCTGCCGCCCTGGTCAATGACCTTGAAGGGCCATGACTTGATGTCCTTCTGGACGGTCTCGTCCTCGTATCGGCGACCAATGAGACGCCTGCCAGAGTCAGCGTACTGATGGCATACGCCCTGTGTGTGCGCAAAAAACTCACTTGACATCGAAGACGGTGTTCTCGGGGTTCATGGCAGCCTGGTTCTTGGCCGCCTCACCGATCAGACGCTCCTCTGCGGTGAAGGACACGAACGAGGGGGTGGTGAAGCTACCCTGCTCGTTGGCAACTGCGGGCAAACATTGTCAGCCGACTGCTCGCGATGAGAATGTGTGATGAGCGGGCGCATACTGATCTCGACATTGGTGCCCTCATAGTTGGCAACGCAAGAGTAGGTGGTGCCTGTGGGATATTTGGTTAGCACATGCCACTGTGGGGTAATATTTGCGAGTGTTGCGCACCAAGATCGATGCCGATGGCGCCCTCGTAGACTTCTTCGCTCATGATTGCGGTGTGTGTGGGAAGAACAACCTGGAGAGAAATTGAAGAGCAGGAAGGTGTTGGAGAGAAGGTGGAAAAAGAGGGTTGGGAATCTTTTTTGCGCTTGCTTAAAGGCGAGCGAACGGAGAAAAATTGGCCTCGCAGGGATTGCTCGTAGTGTCGGCGGGCGACGCTAGGCACACTCGGTTAATTCGTTCGACGGCGCTTATCGATACCCTCGAAAAATAAATCGCTGCGGGCAACGGGGGCAACGGGGGGCAAATGGCGAGCCTCGGCCACTCTCGCGCAGGGTCCTGTATCTTTTCTATTTTGGAGTATAATACGAGATTTGGCGAAGGGTGGGTTGGTGCACAGTTCGCTGCAATTGTGTGCACGCAGCAGTGTTACTCGCTTGCTTGCCGAGCCTGACTCCCGGAGCGTAAGGACCTTTGCAGCAAGTCACCTCATAGATTGCGCAGCTGACATACATTTTTCTGCTGGTGGAACCGAGTATAGGCCTAGTCCGAATTCAAGCGATTCTTCCTGTCAGAAAGGTCACGCTCGAATCCGAGTTTCAAGTCGCGATTGTGCTGTGCCGTTCCAAACTCTATCGTTTGAAGATCATCAAGAAGCCAACTCACGCTCCGTATGCGTATCGGAGGATCCACCATCATTGGAGTTCAATTGTACTGCTAGGATTAATCCATTAAAGCAGCCTATTCCTGGTCACAATTACCTAAAAGTGGAGACGAGTAGGAAACAACAACTTTGACTTGGCAGGATGGAGATTCTTCAGTACAGTAAAAGTTCTGGCCGTTTATCCATCAAAGGCTGGTAGTAATGTTAGCCTTCCCATGCTTCCGTATAAAAACTGTCACAACCTAACGCCCTGTCTCCTTTCCCCAATGACATCCATATCCTGTAAAAGAAACGCCGGACACCATCTTTATCATACACCAATGCCTACCAGCGCCATCGGCTTATACAAACCGCCTAGCCTTAGACCTTTTCGTCGTGAAACACAAAGCTAATGTCCCTTGGCCTTTGCGTGTTGTACCTCACAAAGTTCTCATCTCCTTGCGGTCTCTCCTTCTTAGTGTTGCTGGTGAGCATGCTCTGCACACTCACACACACGCTCTCCACATTGTGTACGGGGGACCAGCCAGAGCGGTCTAGTAGATCGAGGCAGATGATGCCATTGGAGTAGATATGCGGGTGCCAGGGTATCGGGTGGGTTTCATCGCGGACGAATACAACTTCGGGTGCCTAACAGACGGCATGGTCAGCGATTGGCTAGGCCGAGTTGGCTAGTTCCAAGAGAAGGAATACCTCGATAGGATACTGCGGACTGAAACCGAACTTCAGCCGGTAGGTTTCGCCTTGGTAGATGGGGTTTGCGTCCATGACTTGAATGTCCATGAGCCAGGTTTCAAAGTCGTCGGCTTTGACAAGCGTTATGCCCGGTGGCAGCTTCTCGTGCATCTGTTTCTCCGAGTTAGTGGCCCTTTCACGCCTATACGTATGAATGACATTTCCGCTGTATGTGGTTGGCCTGGGCGTGTGGACTGGTAGTGGAGGCGTATGCGCTTTGCAACGAACGGGAGGGTTACGGTACCTTTGCTAGCTCCTAGGGGGCTTGTTAACTTCGAGTTGTTCAAGTACTTGTCACCGCATGCGAGCTCGAGGGCTGCATCTTGCTGTGTAGACGTACCTTGCCTAATCGCTTGGCCGCGAACATGTTGCTGCGGCGCGCGCCTCTTTTCTCCTCAGATCAAATCCCACGTGTAGTCTGAACCAAGAGTGTCCAGTAATTTGCCAGGCACAATACAGAGCTGTCGTGAATCTTGGGTATGGGGTTGTGGCTTGGTCTATGCGGTCGGGCGCGGCGTCGTGTAGTTGGCGGGGGAGGGGCCGAGCGGTGGGCCTTTTTGTACGTGGCAGCCTAGTATCGCGAAAGAGAGCTTAGTGTGGTGAAAACAAGGAGGGAGCAATGGGGGAATCAAAGGGGTAAGCCCGGTTGCAAAGGGGAAGGCGCGCGTGGTTGTGTGGGCGGCTGCTTGGGCGGTTGCTTGGAGGCTTTGTGGCTCATGTCGAGTGACGTGCAATGCATGGCCCCATGTTTGCACCAGACCCTGCAAGTGCAAGCACAACCATTTTCACGTGATAGACATTGGCGACATGTCGTCCAGAACCCCATATCCAGCGTGAATTTCGACATTGATTCGCTCATGATATCTTTACGCGCCATACGCCGTAGCCGTAGCTTTTCCCAGCCGACATTATACAATGGCCCACGGACCAGAGACTGATAATATGGAAAACGCCAAACGCAATGAAAGAAACAAAAATGCCCAGCAAACATCATCGTGCCATTACGAGTAGAACGCGCCCTTCTGGAAGCTTTCGACACCCATGTCTCCTGCCTTGGTCTCGACTTTTGGTCCAGCTTTATCGCTCTCCTTGCTCACCGCCATGGCAGCGGTCCGGGCCGCAGCGCTGCTGCTGGTCATTGTTTGGCTTCTGCTGCTAGCTGGGCTTCCAACCTGGCTTCCGCTAGTGATTTGGGCAGGCGTCTTTCGCTGGATCGTCTCCAGGTAGATGCCGGGGAGATAGCCCACGCGGCCGTCTCTTGAACGGCACTTCCACCACTCTGACGCGTTGCCCATGGGGTCGCTCTTGCTAAGCACAGCGACCATGTCTCCCTTCTTCACCGAGAGGTCCATGCCCTGCATGTTGGCGTTGGGAGTGAAGTCGTACAGGACGCGACAGAACTCGAGTTTGTTGGGGTCGAGCACCTGGCCAGCCTGTGGGTTCTCCAACATCCTCCGTTGCTCCTCGGCCTCTTGTGATCGGGCAAGTGCCTTGATGAGCTTGCCCATGAGGTATGGCAGGCCAAACACAGCAAGCATGAAAACGACGAAAGGCTTCTTGGACGGCTTGGGAGGCGCCGGTGAGCCGTCTGGCATGCGGCCGTTGAAAGCCGCGAAGCTCGCGGGGGTCAGGGCGGTCGCATCAGCTGGCAAGGGTCGTCCGGTAAGCTTTGCAATGGCCGTCCTTATCCATCGCATGACGGTATATATGCCCAATACCGAACCTAGTGTTTGTCGCAGGTTTCCAAACTGTTCTGCTACGGATACCATGGCTGTTTTTTTTGTTAGTAAACAACACACATGGGATGAGGAAACCGACATACCGAAAAATGACGAATGCGTCGCCATGTATGTGCTTTGGAGCATCTGCGCGAAGCCACCAAAGGCGCCGACAATGTTCTCAATCAACTGGAATGTGGCTGCTGTGCTTTGGCTGAAGGACTGTGTAAGGCTGCTGTTTGGATCGCCCGGCATGCCGCCCATGCCTCCATACATTCCGCCCATGCTGCCGTACATGCCACCCATGCCGCCGTACATGCCGCCCATACCGCCGTACATGGACCCGTAGCCCCCGCCCATGGTCGAGTAGGGCGAGTTGTACGTGTTCATGCCTCCGTAGCCGCTGGCGTAGGGCGACGTGTATCGGTTGTTCATGCCCGAATATGTCGTCGCGTTGCGGTTCGCGACGGTGCTGAGCGAGTCGGGCACGGATGGCAACGGAGGAGCGGCGGCAGACGACGGGGACGCGGCAGTGGCCGTGGTGGTGCTGGGTGCTGTGCTGCTAGTCGAGCCGGTGAGTCCTGCATGGTGGTTAGTCACAATGGTTCCCGACATGCCAAACAGCGGGCGAAACTGACCAACCGAGGCACTTGTCGCGCCTGTGCTCGTCTCCCATGGCTTTGGCGGTGACGGCGAAGACATGGTGCCCTGCGTGTCTGGCTGCGTCGTCACGGCCGCTTTGCGCGCGAACAGCGGTCCGTAGCGGAGAGATGGCGTGGGATGGCGACAAGGAGAGAAGAAGTGCGGATGGCGAGAGGCTGGCGATTAGCTTAGCGGCGACTGAGTCGAGGCGATTCCTTGCGGGGAAACGGCCTGAGACCAGGACCGGGGGCTTGCCGTGACCAAAGGAGCGGATCCGCGTCGGCCGTTGACTCTGCACGCACACGCGCTCGCAGTCCCGTCGCGGATGGGACAAGAGATGCGGATGTGGGTGTGTGTGGAGAGCGATGAGGACTGGGACAGTAGCTGAGCATCAGCACAGCGGTGCCGTCGGCCGGGCTACGGCTGCATGCTGTTCTTTGACGGGGGCATCACGGGCGTTGGGTTGCGACAGACCTCGGTTTCTCGTGCCCGCTTTGGCAACCACTTGCCGAACACCTTTGCCACCACTCACCCGCCTGCACCTATCGGCCCACTCCGTCAGCCGTAATCGTCATCCCAGATCCGTCGCCTGCACCTGGCATGGCTGCCCCACGAACCGCACTCCAGACCTCTTCCATGTGTAATCACCTACAGACACCAGCCTGCACTGGCACAGCATTGCACCTTGGCCTTGCACCCTCTGTATTCCTATGTCAATATCTACAAGTACATGTGTCGTCTACCAATGTGCACCGGGTAACGCATCCCCTTGAGGCTAGCCTACGCGGGCCGTCTCAGTCGCCGATGGCATACAGCGAATGCACCCAGCTATCTGCATCATACGCCACCAGCCTCTGGATACTCTCGCCCGTCATCTGCGCAGAAAAGTCGAAATCGTCTTCTAGTACCAATGCCGTGATATGCGGATAATGCCACACGACGCCAAACTTCATCTTGCGTCCAACGGGCCGGCGGAACCAGTTCGAATCGCCGCCTTCTATATTGCCTTGTCGATGTATCGTCGACTTTGCACGCTCTGCCCCTTTGCTGAGCAGCTCAAAGGCATCGAATTCACCGCACCCTGTCGACCAGCAAGAGCACGGAACGTTGTTTCGGTCGTTGCCATATTGGAGCGCACGCGGAATCGCTGCGTTAAGGAACCAATATGCCGGCGCATCCGACAGCAACCCCTGATCGGTGCCCTTGTTGGGATAGTGGTCCATCTGAAACTCGATGAAGAAGGCCTTTGACGAGCCTGACCAGCCATCTGCAAATGTTAGGTCTGGTCAACATCTAGGGAAACAACTTAACATGCAGTGTGAAGTGGCATTCGGCCTCCAATACGGGCAGCCCGCGTCGCACTCTTTATCAGAGAGAACCACAATCTCCGTTTCAGAAGTACGCAGCGTGCCTTCAAAAGGCACACTCTCGGCTGCTACCTTGTCGCCTTGTGGAGCCACGTAGCTGAGAGAGTTGCCGAAAGCACTGCATCACGTCAACATCAGGACTTCTTTGTTCGTGAAAGACCTACTAATCAAATGTGCCGGATTTTGCCGGGTCCCCCAAGTTGGCCATGAAACTAAGTCCAGTAGCCTGAGCAGGTGCGCTTGATGTGTAGTATGCCACTCGTCTCCAGTTTGCGCCTTGTCTCTTCGAATCCTGTCGAGCTCCTAGACTGGTTGGAGAGGTAGGGCTTACGTAGGCCTGTCCGTTGGGACGCTGGAAAAGCGTGTCAAGGCTCATGCTGCTGCCGCTACTCCAAGTACTGTGCGATGAGGGAGACGGTGTGGAAAAACAAGGTAGTGGTGGCCCAACATATGTTGTGTTTGGCAAGGGTTGTGGAATATCAGTAGCATCGCACTTCTTCGTTACTGTCTTGGTCATTGTTACAGTAGTCCGACTCCAACTGATCGTCGTGTTGTATGTTCTTTTCACTACCGAAGTCGTCCATTTTGATACTGCCAAACGGGCTGAGTTGGTCGAGTCGGTTGTATTGCACAATGTCTCTTGCTCCTTCAATGCTCGGCGTCGGTTGTAGAAAGGTACCGTCCTTCGTTTCTGCATCCTTTGCGCTTCGCCTGGAAGCTGATAGACAGCAAGCTGGCTGACATTCATTGGTCCGCGAAGATGCATCGACACCTGCTGCGTCGTTAACACCCTGACCATCTGATCAATCGTAGACCGTACCTCTCCAAACAACGGTGTGAGTGGACCTGAGCTGGGGTAATCAACACGTTCATGGCCGCATAGGCCAGTTCGGGGATTAATGTTAATCGTGCGATTGTAGGCACCAGGCTGGCTGATGTTTCGATACGTGATGGCCCAAACTTCGGAGCAATACTAGTTGCCATCCGAGGACAGCTCAGCAGTGCCACGACATAGCTCCTTGGAGGTTTTGCTGTGCACCAAAGGGAAAAGTAGGACTGCGTTGAGTAGTGTATGCTTCATGCCGGATAGACTATGCTGGTCACTCGATCAATGTTGTGTAAAAAGTGTCGCGCAATGTTGAGCAGGAGACTTGGAGTGGATCGTGTTGAAATAGTAGATTGAGTATCCTATTTAGAAGGGCCGTTCTGCAACCACAACTCTGAATATGGAGAAGCCACGCTACGAAGGCTGAAGAAGGGGCCATCTCATCGTAACCCAGAAGGAACAGCTCAGCGCGCTCTCTTAGATGTACAGAGACCCGCATGTCCGATAACCACCTGCAAGATCTTCATTGACCAGCCTCTCTGTTTTCAGTCAGTCCACGTTTCCCTCAAAAGCATGAACTGAACAGAGAGAAGGATGTAGCATATTTCAGAATATAAGTTCAATGCACCGGCAAGACCCGTGAAGGCCTCGCCTAAAATAAGAGGTATCAGAAAATAATTTTGGTGGATCATCATTGTGCTGTAGGAGAAAAGAGAAATGCGTACACGTACCTGTGGGACATGGTCAGAGTTTGAGCTGCGTGTTAGTTACATGCTACTAGAGCAACATTGCAAGTGCACGGCGCTCATCTAGCCGCAACAAGGCCTGAAGATGGGTGGATGCGCCTGCATTTTGTTGTGCTAGAGCTGGGAAGGGTGAGAAGGTGAGGTTGGCAGACTTTTTGTCTAGCAGCAGGAGCTTTGACGCTAAGGCGGGCGCACGGTCCACCACACACCTAGCCGAGCCGCGAGAGAAATTGGTCGTTGGATCGCGAACTTCCATCACGACTCCAAGCCTTCCACACGTCTTCGTACTAATCGACCAGCTCTCCGCCCGGAACATTCATTCAAAATGGGTCGTCTTCACAGCAACGGAAAGGGCATATCAGCCTCTGCCATCCCCTACTCCCGCAACCCCCCCGCGTGGTTGAAGACCACCCCCGAGCAGGTTGTCGACCAGATCTGCAAGCTCGCCAAGAAGGGTGCTACTCCTTCTCAGTAAGCCGCAATTCGAAGAGAAGAGATTTTGGAGGATTGAGCGCTGACGGATGGTTTTGCAGGATTGGTGAGATCCTCCGTGACTCGCACGGTATCGCCCAGGTCAAGGTTGTCACCGGCAACAAGATTCTCCGCATCCTCAAGTCGAGTGGTACGATTACCTCCTACACATGAGAAAAGCGCAAGTCGACACAGCTCTGCTCCCAGCGAGGAGGCATCTGCGCGCTATATAAAACTGCATTTGTTGGTCTAGGCTAACATTTTGCGCTTAAAGGCCTCGCCCCCGACATCCCGGAGGACCTCTACATGCTTATCAAGAAGGCCGTTGCCGTCCGCAAGCACCTCCAGACCAACCGCAAGGACAGGGACAGCAAGTTCCGCCTCATTCTCATCGAGTCCCGTATCCACCGTGTAAGTTTTGCATTTTCGAGACGCTGGGCAATAGCATGGGCTAATGATTGCTTCAGCTCTCCCGTTACTACAAGACCGTCGGTACTCTCCCCCCTACCTGGAGGTACGAGAGCGCCACCGCCTCTACCCTCGTCGCATAAGCAGATGTAGGATTGGTGTGGCTGGTAATCGTGATGGAAGTCATTTACGTGGAGTTCATGGGCATGGATGCTTGCTTTACGGATACCTAGCAGCATCACGATACGGAATGAATCAAAAAGTATCATCTCAGGATGAATATACCCAATTGCAATCAGAGTGCCAAAGTGCGTGTTTGTGATGTCGATGCTGGTTTGACTTGGGTATCTTTTCGTATACGACGCCTGCCTTGTTACATGTCTTGCACGCCAGCTATACCACCTGGATATCTCCACACATTATCTTGAGTCGTGCAAACTACTGTCTTTAGTAGTTCCCTCCCGCTTGTTCTTTCCCAGCACATACATTATACCCCAGCAACCACTTGATCCTGCTCACCTTCCCTCAGCCCACGCACCACTTCTCAAGCGCCCTCCACCTCTGCACTTTTCTGCGCCAAAAACTCGCTCAGCCACTTGAGCGGCTTCTCGGGCTCCTGCGTCGCAAGATGCTTCATGGCCTCGAGCAGGTACGGCGTAACATTCTGATTCAGGTAGACGCGTGTAGGGCTCCCATGTGGAATCGGCTGCGAGGGCGCCGGCGCCGTGGGATGCGGTGAGTTTCGCGATGAAGCGGGCGTGGGCGTGGGCGCAGAAGCAGAAGCAGGAGGTAGTGTAGGTGCGTTTTGCGCTGCTGCTGCTGCTGCTGCTGCGGGCGTTGTCGACGACGACGGTGTTGGCGGTTGTGTTTGCACGGTAGGTTGATGCGATGATGCTGCTTGCGCTGATGACGATGAGGATTCACCTTGAACCTAAATATTTTTTTCCAGTTAGTTCGTTTTTTTTATATATTCCTCCTTGTCAAATTCCTGCGCAGGAAGTATCGTACTGCTTGTTCGGTGGTCGAGTCTGCCATTTCTACGTCTGCCGATTGTGCTTGTGCGTCGCCGTTTGTGATTGTGGCATCCGTGTCTGGGGTTTCTGGCGCTGCTGGGTTGGGAGATGGTTCGGCCATTTGGAGAGATTTTGTCGTGGCTGTTGGGATGAATTGACGCGTAAAGACGCGATTGGGCACGGTATAGGCAGTGAGTTTGCAGGGCGAGGGCGTAGTGTTGGTGGTTGCTTCGAGAGTGGGTGTAGCTTTGAGCTCTAGAGCAATGTTCAGGGATCACGGGCTAGCCTCGGCCATTGGCCTTGTGAGCTTCGTCCTCACTACCAACTTCACGTTTCGTTTTCACCATGGTCGAATGGCCTTGATCAAGCACAAAAGTCTGGACAGTCGCACTTGCAAGTAAATCTCGTGTGTTTGAATATCCTACAAGCTGATCTATAATAGCGTACTAAGAACAAAACAAAAGCATACAAATCCCAGAACGCCCAGTTGCATGTATGTACGTAAAGACGCGCTCGTCTTGAACTCATCGTATTTGCTCGGCCGTAACAACGCGTACTTCATATTCATGTTCGTCCTTCATATATGTCATCTACATTTACTCCATCAATTCTCGGTGCGAAGCTGCCGCAATGATTCAACAAGGCAAACAGCGCAAAAGAAAACCATCAAGTCAGATAACGGGAAATGCAATCAAGATGAAAAACGTGTACTCGCGGGGTGGAACCCGGAGCCTCTCATAAGGACTTTGGAAAAACTCTCATGTCCCTCCTTCGGGCACATCTAGCGAAGTCGTCGTTCAGCCGGGTATGGCACGTTGGTCGAAACCGTCGTTTTCATGTCGTTATTCGTAATCACACTGTTCGTGTCCCAAGTGCCAGCGTCAGAGACGCTGGTTTTGCTTCTCAGGAACTTTGGCCGGTCGGGTTTTGGGGGTTTTTGAGGCTTTGCAGGCTTTTCAGCCTTGTAAGGCGCATTGGCGGAGACGACCGTAGAAGGCCCGTTGTTCGCGTGGGTAACCTCACTGCTCGTGTCCCAGGTACCAGCGTCAGAGCCTTCATCAGAGAGGTTCTGCTGCTCCTGCTCCCTCTTCAGTCTTTCAAAAGGACCGAGCAGGTGGATCGAAGACGCGTGTCCTCCGCTTGGGTAGGGAATATTGGTTGAGACTGTTGTAGGCGGAGCACGCTGTGTAACAACACTATCCGTGTCCCAAGTACCAGCATCAGAGACGCTTGGCCTTCTTCGCATTTGAGAAATCCCAGCTGGGTAAGGCACATTGGTTGACACGGTGGTAGGTGGGGGGCGATAGCTTGTGATCTCGGTGGCGGTATCCCATGTGCCAGCATCAGACACACTCAGTCTTCTCTCTTGCCGCGGTGACGGGGGCACGTACGAGACGTCGCTCGTGGAGAAGTTTTTCGGGTACGGAATATTGGTTGACACAGTCGTAGGCGGGGGTCGATGTGTTGTGATTTCCGTGTTGGTATCCCAGGTACCAGCATCAGAAACACTCAATCTTCTCAGCTCCCGTGGCGAGGGAGGGATGTAAGATGCCTCGCTTGCAGCAAAATTTGTCGGGTATGGAACGTTGGTCGACACAGTCGTAGGCGGGGGGCGGTGGGTCATGATCTCGGTGTTGGTATCCCAAGTACCAGCATCTGAGACACTCAGTCTTCTCAACTCCCGTGGTGAGGGGGACTCGTAAGCAGCCTCACTCTCAGCAAAGTTTGTCGGATAGGGAACATTGGTCGACACAGTTGTAGGGGGAGCACGCTGCGTGAAAACGCTTGCAGTGTCCCATGTGCCCGCATCAGAGACGCTCATTCTTCGAGACTCGTGCGAGAATCCGGCTGGATATGGAATATTGGTCGAAACAGTGGTCTCAGGGCCACGTTGAGTTACCTCACTGCTGGTATCCCAGGTGCCGTCATCGGCAATGCTTCTTGTTCGTCGCAGATCCCAAGACAGCGCCGTCGGGTACGGAACGTTGGTTGATACAGTAGTGGGTGGAGCAACTTCAGTAACCTCGCTGGCGGTATCCCACGTTCCAGCTACAGAGACACTTCGCTGTCTCTTGATCTCCTTTGATTCTCTCTTCACGTCTTTGGAGTCACGCCTTGAATCATAGACGTAAGGATAGGGCACGTTGGTTGACACAGTGGTAGGTGCAAACTCATCGTGAGTGAAGACACTGTTTGTGTCCCAAGTGCCATTGTCGGAGATGCTCCTCACTCGTTTAACCTCACGTGACTCCCTCTTTGACTCTTTCGAATCTCTGGACGAGGTCGATTCCTTGGTTATATCCTTGCTGCCGTGGTTCCTTCTCCTTTCGCTCTTACTCTTGGTGCTTCCATTTGAAGGAGTGGGGTACAAGGCTTTGACGCCAGCGCTTCGACTCTCGTACAAGTAACGAGCCTTCTCGCGCTCGGTTTTATCCGAGCGATCACTCTTCTCTGTCCGGCTTGTGCGCTCGCTCTTGTGCGTGCGTTCACTCTTTTCTGTACGCTCGCTCTTTTCCGTGCGCTCGCTCTTCTCTGTGCGTTCACTCTTGTCCGTACGCTCGCTCTTGTCTGTACGCTCACTCCTATCGGTGCGCTCAGTGTCGGCCGATTTGTGTGTGCGGACACTAGAAGCATAGGTACTTCGCCGGCGGGCAGATCCAGGTCGAGGAGTGAATTCGACTAGATCATCTTCAACAGCTGATTCAGATCGGCGAGTGTGGGTAGAGCGACGACGTGAGTGCGTCGTTGAGGAAGTCCTCCTTTGCGGCAACAGACTCTCAATGTCATCTATGGCATCGTAGAGTGGAGACACAGTGTCTACCGGCGTAGGAGGACTTGCGTCAGTCTCCACGTCATCATCTTGGATAGCCTCCTCTGTTGGAGTTCTGGAAAACAGTGGTGGGAAGACCGCACTCTCTTCTGCAACAGGCAATGGTATCTCGGGCCTAGATACAGGCTTAGGAGGCGGTGGTGGCGGCTTTCTCCTTGAACTTGGTGGTTGTGAAGCAGCCAGACTTTCGACTGGCATGCCAATGATGTTTCTGGGAGACGTGAACACGGACGTCGGCGGTGGCGGTGGTGGATGTGTGTATGCATTTCTGTCACCTAGCGAGGGGCCAGAGAAAAGGCTCAACGCTCGCTTGATCGTTGAGGACTTTTCAGGCTTTTCAGGCTTGTCCGGCTTCTCTGACTTCTCCGTTGGTGATGATGGGCGCGGTCGCGAGGCAGCTTTCTCAGCCGTGTTCGTCTCGGTTTTGGTCGGGGAACGAGGAGCGGGGGGGTTTGTTTGCGCGTCTCGGGGAGGGGGGGATTCCTGTGGCAGCAACACGTTAGCCAAGTGTTTCTATGCAATCCTCGTTTTCGTAGGGGTCGGAGTGGTTCGCGTGGGTTGCAGCAATCAGGTGAAGTTCGAAAGTGCTCAGAAGTGCTCTGGGATAAAGTAAACACACACGGGTTGTGTCACATACCGGCGCCGGAAACTTGCCCTCGTCAGTCGGACTCGTTAATAGAGTGGTGTGGGATGGCAAACCAGCAGATTTGAGCTCCTCCAGCCTCGCCACTACAGGCTCAGCATCATCATACAAAGCGAGCCCATGATGGAGAACGCAGCCTTCATCGCGCGGCTCACCGTTGACCTGGAAGTTTTCATGTTTCGCTTCGCGGTACACAACAGGGAACATCCTCAAAAGTAGCCGTGGGTGCGAATCGGAGGTGGACGAGGTGTCCATGGGGGAACCTGGTGTGTCTTCTGGCTTGTAAGCGGGCCAATACTGATTACCGGTGAATTGATGCTCTTCATCGTGCAGAGCAGGCATGACTGCCGTGATCATTTCACGTTCGAGACGTGCAAATCGCCACGTCTCTGCGGCAAGCTTCACGATACGCTTGACTGCGACCTTGATACCTTCTTCCTCTCTTGGGTCGGCAAAGTGTTTGATCGCGTTGACGATTTCCTCGACAACCGTGCCAGCAGCTGTGTTGATGCGCTGCTTGGCACCGGAGCTCGTGAAAGCCGCTAGAAGAGTCTGTTGACGCCAGATTGCCTCTTTTCGCGTGCTTTTCTCGCGGATGTGATGGCTCATCGAAGAGAACAGCGAGTCAGCTTTGTCGTAACGACGGCCAAGGCTGAACAGGAAGGGACCAAAGACACGATAGGTGATGAGCTTCGCCACTGTGTGAGCTATGTAGGCCGATCGAACTTGTCTGTAGCAAGGTTGCTCGGTCAGTAAGTCATCTTTTGTTCGCAGTTGTCATGCTTACCTAGAGGCTCTGGTATCGCCGATGAAGGATGGTAGGTTAGAAGGCACTTGTCCAAGATCCTCTGGCGGTGGTCGTACTGGGAGATGGACGAAGTGAGTGGTTGCGAGGTCGATGATTTGTCTTTGCAGATGGGAGAACGATGACAGGCTGAGAGTGATGAGTTAGCGATCAGCTTCGGTTGAGAAGGACAGTTGAAAGCACTTACTAGTAGCTGTCGCCCTTGCTCTTGATCTCTGCAATGTCTCCATAGCACTCCATCATCTTCTCCAGCCTAGACTTCTCAGACTCGAGGTTGCTAGCAACGCTCTTGATGATCTCCTTCTCATGCTGGCTTTCAGCCTTGAGCTGTTCGTATTGTCTCAATAGCTCATCCTTCTCCTGTTCCAGGTGATCAGCCCTGGCTGCCTCTTCTTCGGCTTTCCTCGAGAGACTGCTGTGGATGTCGGATTCCTGGTGATGGGTATCCAAGAGTATACGCTGTTCCTCCCAACTCTTTTGGAAAAAGTCTCGCTCCCGCATGAGGGCATCACGCTCGGAGGCCCAAGCTTCCTGGTTCTCCCGCTCCCGCTCAAGGGCTTCTTGGAGCTTGGCACGAAGCTCAGAAGCCTCTTCGGCATCTTGTCGCCATTCTTCGGCAGCGGCCTCGGCCTTCTTCAGCTTCTTGTCGAACTGGATAGCGAGGGCAATCTTCTCGGCATCGTGCTTGGTATTGGTGGTGGATTTCCATTCGTCAAAGTCCCGCCATGTTCTTTCCCTCTCCTCGGCCGTACTCCTCTCGAGAGCGCGATGCACATCCTCCAGCTCCTTGTACCTAACCTCCCAGGACTTCATGGCTGTATCCAGGACCAGCCGTATCTCTTCAGCCTCGCGTTTCGACTTGTTGTTGTCGGCAATCTGCTGTCGGAGATCCCTCACCTGCTCTTCCAGGTTACCGATTTGGAAGTGTAGCCGGTTTGCCTCGGCTGAATGTCTATTCTCCAAGGTGCGAATCTTCTCCTTCAGCTCAAAGATCTCAGCATCCTTTGCCCGCAGCTTCTCTTCTTTCTCGGCACCTGTCCGACGGAGCAAGTCCTCGCGTGCGCTGAGCTGCGTGTGAGTTTCTTTGTGACGTGCAAGCAGGTGGTGCAGGTCTGGGATGGTGTGGGCAAGGCGTGAGTAGACGTCGGCAGACCCGTCTTCGATGGCAGGTCTGCTGGCCTCTAGAGCATGTGATGGATAGTCTCTAGAGCCCGAGGGGTCCAGCTGATGGAAGGGGCTGCCGTAGGGAGGATACCCAGGTGGGTATTGGCTCCATGTTTCTTGGTATGGGGAGGAGGAAGAGTGTGACGAAGGGTCGTAAGGATTGGGGTTAGGGGCGGGACAAGCCTGCTGACTCATAGCGTAGCCATGATGATTAGGGTAGTGAGGCGGCTGGGATGGCGGGGCATAGTAGCTGGGATGGTATGTTGGTGGAGGGGCGGGATAGGTCGGCTCGACAGGTACTCGGGATGCAAAAACGCTACGTGGTTGCTGCGGGCCCAAGTGGGCCCTGGACACTTCATGCGCTTCACCGCTAAATGGGCGCCTCGACGCTATCCGGTTCGGTACTAGGCTCGCTTCTGACTCGTCGTCGCTGTCAAAGGTAGGTGCGTGTCTGTAGAGAAGTGTCGAGTTAGCCAAATCGTTCGCCGAAACGTTGCAAGAATAGCCCAGGTGTTTGGCGACATGTCGTCATGCGGCAGCCGCCCGAAACGTGACGCGCTGTGTGCCCGCAGAAGAGCCGAGCAACGTGCTGGGAGAGCAAGGAAGGACAGTCAACCTACATCGGGCGTACTCTGCTCATAGGCGGACTGGGTGCAGGAGGTATGTCATCATCCATAAAACGCGAGACGGCATAGGGCTTTGGTGGATAGTTTGGACCCGCTCCCTGCGTTCGAAGCTTCCGTGCATGTGGCGCGAAAGATCGATACGATCTAAAGGGTCGATCGGACTGGCCTGGAGAGTGGTCTTGTGCTTGTGCACGATATCCTCCCGACGGAGGCGTCTGAGCACGTGCTGGTTCCGCTGCTGCTCGCCGTTCCTGACTTCCTGTAGGCGGCATGGGAGGGGGTCCGGCGTCGTTTGGTACTCGATCACGTGAAGCTTCTTCGATGGCTCTCCGAGCAGCCTCGACCTGCTCCGTCTCTTTTTGGGCACTCGTAGTGCCGTTTGCAGCCAGACGCGCCTCTGTGTTTCTTCGGTGCTGCTCCAGTCTCTCGCGCTGCATCTGCTTGTACTCGAGCTGCTCATTCTCCCTCTTGGCTCGCTCTGCAAGCGCGGCTTTTTCAATCTCGTCTTGAGCCTCCGTCGCCCGTATCTCTTGCTCCATTAAAGCCAGAAGCCGCTTGGCTTCATACACTTGTTCCAGTGTCTCTCTTTCGGCCCTTTCGCGAATCGAGCGCTCTCGCCGTAGTTTTGCTGGGTCTTTCTGCTCCTGCCTGTCGGCTTCGCCCGCTTTCTGCTCTTGTGCGGCTACTTGAGCAGCCTCGTCTTCTTGAGCCTGTGCCGCGTCTCGTTCTTGCTCAAGTTCCTGTAGCAATTCTCTTGCATCAGCCTCTTCTTTCTCTTTGCTCTTCCTCTCGTCCTGATCCTGGTCTAACCGCTTTTGCCGCTCTTGCAAATGGACATGATCGCCATTCTGTGGAGCGTCTTCAACAAAGCCAATGGTGATTCTTTCCTCGTCGGTTGTCCTGGGGCGCTCTAATCGAACGTGCATTGTTGCTTCTTGCTCTTCTTGCATTGTTGCTGCTGGCTCTTCTTGCGCGCCATGACATGGTTCTTCATGTGTTGCAGGCATTTCCGGTATCCTTGGAGCCGCTTCAGCTTGTTCCCTGTCTGGAAATACTACAGGTTCTGCAGCTGATTCGATGGGGCTTTCAGCTGGCCACGCGTCGGCAGTTGGCTCAGATTCTACAGCAGGCACCTCGAGCGCTTCTGGTGGTATTTGCGCATCCTCGTCTGCGCCAGATGTCCCGTTGGGTATTGATTTTTCCGGATTGTAAGTCGTGTTGGGAAGGCACTCGGGTGGTTCTTCTTCTTCTTCTTGGGGTAATGATGGCGGCGGCCCTTGGGCTGGGTCGCTGTCAAAGGGTTCGCCAGAAATCTCATCCGGCTCCATTGACTCAATCACTGGTGCTTGGGGGGCTTCGAGGGCATCCAATTCGTCTGTTGGAAGCGGTTCTGCCTGCTCGTCGCCAGAATTTTCCTCCGTCTGCTCTAACCGGAGGGCGGGCGCCTCACCGCCGTCGTCAGGGCTGACAATGGGCGCGGCAGTAGCAAGAGGCTCACTCGAAGACATGGCATCTACTTGTGAATCTGCAGGCAGTTCGGGAGCCTGCGTAATGTGTGGCTCGGCAAGCACAGCGGGCGATGTGTGGTCTTGGACTGGATGTAGGACGTCGTGCTCCTCAGCCAGAGGCGGCTCCTGTCCTAAAGCGGGCCCTGCTTCTAGGCTGTCATCTAATGGATGCAGCGACGACTGCTCAAGCTCATTGGCGGCTGGGAGCAAATTCTCGACGCTCTCGTTGGCTGCGCCGGGCTGGGTGGCTTCGGTCGGAGCTATTTGGGGCTGCGAGTCCGGTTGCTGGTTCATGGGTGGATCTGGTGGTGCGACAGGAGCGCTCTCAGCAGGCGGCGGGTGTGCATGTCTGTGGGGAATAGGCTGTGAACTGTCGATGTGTGTTGAAGATGCAGCCGGCGACGTTTCCAGCGGCGTGGTTATGGCAGCCTCGCAGGGCTCCACTCTGGAGGCGGCTGGCACTGACTGCTCCCCGGACGCAGCGTCCGTGGGTGGTGGCTCTGCTGGCTCTGCTGGCTCTGTTGGCTCTGTTGGCTCTGCTGGCAACGACATTTCAGGCGCTTCAGCAACGGGCTCGCCTGTATTCGTTGGCACATTGTCAGGGGGGGTTGCAGACTCCAGTGGGGTCTGGCAGTGCGAGGTGTTGGTTTGTTTCTTCTCCATGACTACCGCTGACTACGGACGAAGCCTATTATTTACAGTACAGACAGAAACCACCCGAAGACGAGAAATTCCAGTTCAATCGCACCTCCTCTCCCGACAAACGCGTGCAATGGCAAAAGAGAGGCTGGGGGCTTGGTAACAGGGCATTCTGGCGAAAATTTTTGAGCAACAGACCGTGAGCACGCGCATAAGAAGTATATAAAGAAGGCGCCAATGCAACGCGGTCCCGCGCCCAATAGGCAGCGAGCCGGGAGCTGCCAGCACATGCAGCACTCGAGCGGCCTGAGCTGTGAGCGCCCTCTTTCACCAACGGCGCCCGCCTCGGCGAGCCCTGGCGGGGTTGCTTGGAGCGCAGCGGCAGCGCAGCGGCAGCAGCAACATGGCCGTCGCGGGCGCCTGCGTGGTGTTGCAGTCTGTCGAGCCACGAGGCCAGCGCGCAGTGGACTGGCAGCGCGGCCGTGGCACCAAGGGCGTGTCGCCATGTGCGCTCTCATATCACGGCGAGAGGCGATCCGGCGACGCAGCATGGTGCAAGCGATGGCGGCGCTGGGATGGGGGGGTCAGCATGCAGCGCCGACAGGGAACGAGGCGTAGCATGTTGCAGACGGGCATGCTAGCTGCATGGCAGCCTCGAGCTGGAGGCGGTAGGGGTACGGGGGGGTGTGGTGGGCGTGGTGGGCGTGGTGAGGCTAGGGAGAAAGCAGCAGCGGTGTGTGTGAGGGTGCAGAAGCAAAGATGCGTTGGCAGCAGCGATACATGAATTGCCGCCCCACCTGACCGCCGCCTACGGGCTAGCGCGCTTGGGGCCCCCGGCGACGTCTGCGCGCTGCTGCCTCTCTCTCCCCTCGCCCGCCCGCCTGCCCGCCTGCCCGCCCGCCAACTGCTTGCCCGCCCGCCCGCCCGCCAGCTGCTGCCCGCCGCCTGCTGCCCGCCGCCCTCTGCGACACGGCCTGGCACGACGGAACCGACCATGCGCCGCCTGCACAGCCAGCAGTTCTTCACATCCTGCGTGCTGGCGCGCCATGGCTAAGCTGCGTTCGGCGCGGAACAGGCCGCGCGTGCCCTCGTCCGACGACTCTGAGCACGCCGAATCGCTTTCACCGCCTCCCCAGCCTCCCCAGCCTCCCCAGCCGCTGCCCCCCACGAGGGCCGCACTAACTCGCTCCCGCCCGCACACACGCGCTGCCTCGACGACACCACCCGCCACTGCTGCTGCTGCTAGCAAGCCCGTATACAAGCCGATAACGTCCTTCTTCAGCAGCGTCCCCCGCCCGCCCTCGTCGCAGCCCACGCCGAGCCCCGAAAAACCGGCCGCGTCAATTGAAGACTGGGACGACATCTTCGACTCGGACTACGATGACCATGACGACCATGTCAAGCCCGTCCACCCTCCTCCAAGGGCGCTCCCGGTGCGAAAAAGGCCAATCGCGGCAACTGCCCCAACAGACGCTGCCTCGGCCGTGATTGGCAGGCAAAAGTTCCTGCGCACCGCAACCGGAGCCCGCAGCACGCCTCCCATCTCGTCCCAGCTACCGCCGCGCGATGCCGACGACGGGCGGCCCTGGACCGACAGGTACGGCCCCGTCTCCCTGGACGAGCTCGCCGTGCACAAGAGAAAGGTGGCCGAGGTGCGCACATGGCTCACAGACGTCTTGGGCGCCAAGGCGCGCAAGAGGCTGCTGCTGCTCAAAGGCCCTGCTGGCAGCGGAAAGACGACGACCGTCTCCCTGCTCTCCAAGGAATTGGATATAGACGTGCACGAGTGGAAGAACCCGACTGGGTCCATGTCCACGGCCGACGGTTTGTCCTCTGCTACCGCTCAGTTTGACGACTTTGTCGGGAGGACGGGCACCTTTGGCAGTCTGGCCTTTGATAGCCAAGTCCCAGCTGCCCAACCCGCCTCGTCGAGCAGTCGCACGGGTAGGAAACAGCAGTTGATCCTAGTAGAGGAGTTTCCGAATACATTCACACGTACTTCTTCGGCCGTCCAATCTTTCCGCTCTTCCATCCTCAAGTATCTTGCTGCCACCACGCAGTCAGCCACTGCATTTTTCTCAGGTCAAGTCGATCCCGACCAGTCAGTGACTCCCATCGTTATGATCATCTCCGAGACACTACTGTCTACCAACACGGCAGCAGCTGACAGCTTTACCGCCCATCGCCTCTTGGGCCCTGAGATTCTGACTCATCCTGGAGTGACTGTTGTCGAGTTCAATCCAATCGCACCCACATACATGACCAAAGCCCTAGACACCATTATCCTCAAGGAGGCCAGGAGGTTTGGCCGAAAGAAGACTCTGAGCCCGCAGGCTATTCAGCGCCTTGCGGAGCTCGGCGACATACGCAGCGCAGTCTCATCGCTCGAGTTCTTGTGTCTACGTGGCGACGACGCCGACGGCTGGGGCGCAAAAGTCAACTTCACCAAGAAGAAGACTCCAAAAGACACGCCAATGACAAAGATTGAGCAAGAATCTCTTGAGATGGTGACGCAGCGGGAGAGTACGCTTGGCATCTTCCACTCAGTCGGCAGGGTTGTCTACAACAAGCGTGTCGCGGAGAGCGCCAGCGCGCCAGTTGCGCAACCGCCCAACTGGTTTCCTGAAAGACGAAGACCAAAAGTTTCCGAAGTCAACGTTGACACGCTCATTGACGAGCTAGGCACTGATACACAGACGTTTGTTGCCGCTTTACACGAAAACTATGTTTTGTCATGTGCAGGCGCGGATAGTGAAGAAACCATGGATGCTGTTGCAGGGTGCATAGAAGCCCTCTCTGATGCTGATCTTCTCTCTCCGGATCGTTTTGGCGCTGGTGGCGGGCGTAGAAATTTCCAGGGGACGAGTGCGGACAATCTGCGCCAGGATGAAATATGCTTCCAAACGAGCGTGCGTGGGCTACTATATCACTTACCACATCCTGTCAAACGAATGGCTCCCCCTCCTGGCGTCATGGGCATCAAAGCAAAAGGCCAGGGTGCGAGTGGCAGCATGGCCAAGGGCAATGCATTTGTCATGTATTACCCAGCATCGCTTCGCATATGGAAACAGCAGGAAGAGATTGGAGACCTCTTGGATATGTGGGTATTGCGGGCACAGCGCGGCGAGCTCTTCTCGATCGCATCAGGCGCCCCGAAGCCAGCGGCACCCAGCGGAGGTGTAGACACTTGGAGAAGGAATGCTTCATTTTCACAGTCAACGTCAACACAGGGGCCCAAGTCTAGCGAAGACGATGCATCAGCCCCAGTCCTCTTAGGAAGCGGTGGCTCAGCTCGCCACGAGATGCTCCTGGAGCGCCTCCCTTACCTCACCACTATCCTGCGAAAGTCACACATGCCCTCTTCATCCACCGCTGCTACAGTGCGTGAGATACGAAAGATTACTGCATTTACCGGAGGTGTTTCGTCGGGTGGTGATGAAGAGGATGACCTGGAGGACGACCTTGGCCCTGGAGAGCAAGAGCAGTGGACCACCGACAAACCAGCGCCAGAGACACCAAAGAAGAAAAGAAGGGTCAAGTTTGAGACCAAGGAGCAGGAACCTGAATCGGCAATACCCGGACTGGTAGATAAAGGCGCCAGTCTCATATTGAGCGACGATGACATTGAGGACTGATGAGACCTAATATCATGTACAACACGCCAAAGCGTCATGGCATGACGTAGACGAGACAGATACCACGATGGTGTTGGGCGCGTTTATTTACTGCCTGGATTCGAGCATATATACCAAGATGATAGAGAGAGAGAGAGAGAAAATTACATTTAATAATTGCGATGGGCATGGTCCATGGATCTTCCCCAGTGAAAAAAAAACCATGAAATCTTGCGCACTGAACCATGGTTGTTCCCTCCTCTGAAGCCAATTCTGCCCTTTTCTTCTGTGTCGCCCGGATCGTAGATTGATATCCAACAACTATATGAACATGCGCTCTTTGTGTTCTGTATGCGCCTCCACCAAAAACCCTCTCTCTTCTTACAATGTTGCACACTTAACAGAAGCGAGAGAGAGAAGGAACAAAAAAAATATATATCGTTGTGATATTATTTTACTCGCTGCTCTAATTTGCGCATAATTGTATCTCCTCCCCCTCCTCCTCCTCCTCCTTCTTGCGTCCCTTTGGCATCCATCTCGCTGTTACTATTGTCTGTCTGTCTTTCTTCCTTTCTTTCTTTTTTTCGCTTCTTCTTTTCCCATTTTCATTTCATTTCATTTCATTTCATTTCATTTCATTTCGCCATGGGCAAGCAAGATCAGCGCGATAGGGGGCCCTTGCTGCTTGTGCTTGTATTGAAACAAACCAAAAGCGAAAGAGACTAAAGAAAAACCAAGTAAAATCTCTTCTGTACGGTAACTGGTCAGTGTCGGTTGAATTCCCAGACAAATCTTTTTTTCTTATCTTTGATTCGATATTTGGGCGGTTGAATGGAGGGGGGTGGGGGGAGCTGAGGCTGTGTTCATTATATAAGGAGGTTGCAGCATGCGGTTTGGTTGAGTTCAACGATGACTATGGCAACGCCTTTGTCTGTCGCAACGTACTGTATCATGTCACGTGGGAAGAGGCAAGACTGTATGATGCTCAATGAATGTATTGATCATAATTGTGTTCCTGTTTGCACAAGAGAGAGATATATATAAAAGGGCGTCTTGATAACATTGTGAAAGTGGTATCTTGACAGTTGAAAAGAAGAAGAAGCGTGGTCGTAAAGTCGTCATATGCGTGTCTTTTTTGGAGAACCAGCATGCGAGGACGCTCGCTCTATTTGTTTTTGTTTTCTTTTGAATGGGTTTTGGTTCTTTGCTTATGCGTTCGCAAAGACCTGTCCGGCGCTGGAGAGACCAGATCCATCGGGGGTGATCAGGTACTGGTTTGCGTCGCTGGGCGCAACCATGTGGTAGGCGTAGCGCTCGATCCATGGCTGGGCATCGAGCCAGGGGAGGACTTCCTTGAGGAACTCGGCGGCATCGCCTTCAGTGACGCCAAACTCGCTGACCCACACGGGCAGGTTGAAAGTGTCGTGGAACTTGTTCAGGTAGTCCTTGAAGTCTTGAGGCTTGGCCCACGCGTAGTAGTGGGTGACGGCAAAGTCAACTTGGCAGCCAATGCAGAGCTGCATGAAAGACTTGAGCCACTCGATTCCCTTGCCGGGTTCGTTACCGTTGGTGACGGCAGGGGAGCCGATGCGGAGACCTTGGCTGGCCAGAGGCTGGATGAGCTTCAGGTGGGTGGCGACGGCGGTTGCGACGTCCATGTTGGAGCCTCCACCACCGACCTGGTCGGGCTCGTTGAAGCTCAGCACGTGTGAGACCTTGTACTTCTTGCGGGCATTCTCAATGTTGGTGTTCCACGTCGAGGCACACCACTCCTGGTTGGAGTGGAGCAGGGGAACAAATTCGAGGTCAGGTGCCTCACCATCGATGACAGCCTCCCAGTCATACATCCAGGTGACCTTGGAAGAGCCGGCAAAGTAACGAGTCCATTGCGATCCAGGAACGCCGTTGTGTTGCTTGGGAAAGGCAAGGCCACGCTTGCCTCCATCGCGGAGCCGAAGAGGAGAAGCCTCAATCAGGGTGGAGAGGCCAGCAAGGGCCATGATCAGGGGTGAAGTAAGCATTGTGAAGGAATGTATGAATCTGACGGATCAGAAAAGGAATGTGGGGTGCTAGCTAGAGCAGGTGTTTCGACAAAGTTGTCAAAGGAGAGACTGAGTGCTGAAGACAAAGTTGAAACTCGGACTGGGGGGTGTTGGGGGAGCAGCCATGTCGATACTTATAAACTAAGGAAATGAAAAAAACAGATGCGTATGTGCAGATTCAAACCTTAATCATCATAACGACCCACCCGCAGCACATGGCTTACACGATGGCTCGGCAGTGTTTGCCCAGGCGCGCTGTTTCGACCCAAGACTGTATGTGCCAACTCCGACTCAAAAGTCCACACGTGTGGTAGGACTATGGGGCTATCCCGCACGCGCCCGTCAGCCGCGATTTGACGGCGCCAGCTGTGGGGGTCTGACCGCTCGTCAATCACTGTAGGGCTACGAGGGGCCAAGATGTGGTGGAAATTACCTCCTGGATAGGCGTCGAATCACGACGGCCAGGGCGCACTGTCGGTCGCCGAGTTGTTGGAGCCACGTAAAGTTCCGCGGCATATGCACGATACGTGTGATGGCGGTGGATAAGGCGAACACAGGTTGAGGCCAATCTAGCGCGTGATCCATGTCTGGGCCGCGTGCCTGCGCAGGTACAAGGCGCGGGAGCGAAGTTCTGTCCACGGCCACCGGATGGAAAAGACTTCTGGCCGACCGTCTAGCCCTGCACGTCGTCTTCTAGCGCCGTGCGCTAATGCGCTTCGGGTAAGGCCCTTGGCAGCAAAATCAACGTCCCGCCGCAAATCCATTCCCCCTTTGAGCGCCTCCCAGCTCACGCCCTACCACTCTCTCTGTGACGTATCCTCGTCTAGACCACCTTTGGAGATGCCCTTCATATCCGGCCGGCCAAGTCGGTCGTCGTTACCGCGGCTTTCTTTTTTCCTCAAACACCTGCGCCACACGCAATCTGGACCGTACGTATGCTAGATTACCAGTAAGCACCTTATACTTATCAATCGTACTGGGCGTGCGGCGGAGCTGCCAATGGCATCCTACCGGGCCGCAATCCTCCGTCGGCTTTAACGAACGGGGGCGCTTAACAAATCGCTTCGGAAGCCGCTCCATGGCATGCTCGCCTGCTCTTCCGGCAAACTGTACGTGGCGTTCTCAACACGGGCGGATGGATGCTGTCCCTTGTTCCCCGACCTGCCATGTGCGCGCAGGCGGGTCATCACTGTGGGACGTTGCCAGGTCGAGGCCTTCTTTGCTGCCAGTGTCGACGTTCGCCATTACTCCACCAGGTCATCGTATTACTGACACGCTTACGTCTCCTTGGAAAGCTTCATACTTGGCAGCCCAGCGCCGAGTTCGGGTGCAACGAATCGCCTCTGTGAGGTACCTGCATTGTGGCCTTAGCTGGCCTACCAAGGTCTCGGCCCGTTTCACGCCAGACTTTGGGTCATTCTTTACTCATGGTTAGGCGCTGATTGCCCAGTGCGGCGCGTGGCTAGACATACTTGGCGCCTAGAGTAGGGGACTGGCTGAAAACGACCACCAAGACTCTCATTTCGGATGCCAGCACGAGAGACAGATACTGCTGCAAGATAGCGCGCGCTGCGAGTTATCTGCCCCTTGTGCTGAATTTTTGTCGTGGCGGGCTGAAAACCTCCACTGTTGACGCCACTTTTTGAAAGAAAATCCACGGTACACTAATGCATTCCTGGCCGACGTCGCCTGCAGGGCTTTCCCGGGCGTGAACAGGAAGGTGGGCAGAAACGGACGCATTCAGCCGAACCTGCCTGTGCAGGAAGAAGGGCCGATGCAACCAGATGCGGTATTGGATCAGGAACCATGTGTCAACACATTCCTTCATGGCAATATTATCAATGTCTGGTAAGAGCAAAGCATCTGCATGCGCGGTACCTTAGTACTGTTTCGTAGACGTCGAACGGAGAAAGAAAAAAAACAGAAAGTTCTTTTTATCCTGTAAGCTGACCCGACTGTTTTGTTTCATGGCGCGATTGGGCTCAGCACCACTGAAAATAGAGTTTGTGGCTCCCCTTTCTTCAGCCAACAATGCCAAGACGACACGCCCCCAAACCAGAGTCGGGGTATTCGTGGACTTGCCGTGGCAGAGTTCCGCTCGCGTCCAAGACCCAGTTGGATATATAATCTCTGGGCTATAGCCCTCAAATTTAGAGGATGACGTTGCCGTGTAAAAACAGTCGATGCATACGAGGCTGGAGGTGTCGTAAGTCATTCGCACCCTTTGATAATCAGTGTTTTATCGATATACGCGACATGGTTGCGGACTCATGAACTGCGTGGTAAGAATTTACGAGCACGACCTGCTTGGTGATTCCTCAGCTTGGCAAGACAAACAGAACTTGGATTTGCACCGATCCATGGGATTCAGTTGTTATGGGAGTGCGTAATCCTACGCTCACTCTGTCTATAAAGAGATGCGATGTGTGGCGCTCAGCATCACGATTCTCACCATCACGGCTCAGCCACTCGTCTTCCAGACGCGCCATGATTCTTTGTTTCAGGATACGAGAACACGTTGCCAGTATGTACAGCAGAACTGGATCGACGGCGTATTCTGCGAGTCAGAAAAACCCACGAGGCAAGAGTGGCTTACCTACCTCCATATGTGTGTGTATGTACGGAGGTGCCTCACAAAAGTTTTGTCCCACGCTAATCTCGGCGCTTCGGCATAACTCTTCTTGGCGCAACTCCCACCTTTGAGCTGAGTAGCTGTACGATTTGTCTGTATCTATCGTTACAATGTCTCCTAATACTGATCCTTACACCCGCACCTTAATTGTGGCGTTAAAGTCACCTTCTGTTGGCAAGTCTACATCACAGATCTCTGAACTTACTGGTGTTCATCCTCGTACGGTCAATCGTATCTATAGTAGAGCTATTGAGGCTGGTTTCGAGCCAAACGTTCTCCCTCTTAAGA